TTTATTGGATGTATATGTATAATGCTTATTGAAAGGAGAAAACTTACCATGAAACATTAAAAAGAAAAGAGAACGTTGTGCCGAAGGACGAACATAACATTTCATTAAATTGGATCTTTAAAAATGAGATATTCAGTTCAAATGATCAAAACCACTATGTAGAGGATAAAATGAAAAAAACAACACCAAAAATGTGAAAAACGGTAATTGGAAGATGAAGTTATGGAGGAGAGAAGTTATTTAGCATGGTTTAGGTGTTAAATATAGCTTTAGCACTTGTACGTGGGTTTTGAACATCCTTTGAATTGAGAAAAATATGAAAAGTGGTGAAAATATATTTAGATATTTAACTCCCTTGCATGAAATTTTTTAGGAGTAAAATTCATACCAATAGTTAGGTTTGTAAAGAGCTTTTTATGAATATCTAGATTGTTTTAATTGGATGTTAGACGAAAATTTAGGAAAAGCTGAAAGTTGCAGGGGCTATCAAATTGACAACAGAAGTGCTATTAGAGCATGTAGTATGCCGTGGCGCATCTCCTAGTTTGAGGGATAGGAGGATTTTCAATTTTTTTTCATGGTTTTAATTTTTAAACTTGTTGCAAGAATCCCATGTTTTTGTATTTATAATTAACTCTGATTTTAGCTTATAAAATGATATTTGTGCATTCTTTAAGTTTGAAACCTTAGGATTCAATTTATGCAAATATTACAAACTTGGTAATTCAATTAGATTAGTCTTATGATTATCTCAATCTTAGTGTTAATTATGGATTAGTAAAAATGACCTTACACTATGCAAGATCCCAAGTATAATAACAAGATTAAAAATGTAAATGCAAAGTATAACTTTGTATGAGATGTTATAACATAGATAGTTATATTTGCAAACTAATTCCTCCACATTATTTGAAAATAAATACCCTTAGAAAGCCTACAGCCATGAAAGTGTACATCTAATGTGTTAGGTCCCTTGACATGTGTAAGAAATGAGACAACACACATAAAATAGCATTCTTAATAAAAATTATTTCATCATGGCTATACATACATACATACATACATACATATATATATGTAAAAGCATACAATGTTTAGTATGTCGTACAGGTTGACAAGGTTCGCTCTCTTATACAAGAAATCACCTTTGACACTCAAAAAGATCATTCACATAAGAGACATTTGTGTTCACCATTAAGGCAATAAAAGTGATGATATGGTAGATAATAAACACAAATTATATATTGCTTTAATAGAAAAAAGAAGAGTAAGTTGATATGAGATCTATATATATTAGATCAAATCATGGGTTCCCACATTATGATACTTGTAGTTGGACAATGAATTGTTCAAGATTGACATCATATGAGATGGGCAAAAGAATTTGTGTCTAAATACTATGGGTGTCTATATTTAAGTCTGTACAGTGTCAATGACATAAATAAAATGACATACATTCTTATGAAATAAGAGTAACACCATGCCATGCGATTCATATAGCAGGTGTTCAGTAACCACAATTGGGAAACAAGTGAAAATATTTCTGCTTCATTGTTGTGTGAGTCCTAGAAAGAAATAATCTTTTCATTGATGTCATTTGACTTTAACAATATCACGTATGTAAGTTACATTGCCTGCTGCTTTAGCATATATTATATAATCATGATAGATGCGGTCTAAAGGTAATGTGCTAGGAAAGTGATTATTTCTCATCAAAGTGATATTTAGGTGAAAGGAAGATTGGCTGATCTTGTGTTAAGACATGTCTATTATGATATCATTTTGTAGATTTCATAAGTATGGACATTGTGCATAAGAGAAAGGCTATCTGAGTCTTATATTGACTCAAGAGAGATTAGATTGACTATGAGAAACATGTATATAGGTAAATCTAGAACATTTGAGGCACATTATTAATATAAGAGAAAATCAACAAAAGAGTTGTTTTATACTGACCCATGCCCTTGCAATTATAGTAAAGCACCTACTATGAACATGAGAGAGAATCCATTGAGTATGAGCGAGAGATGTTGGATTGCACCCATGATGAATTGGGCTAAGTAAGCAGAGGCCCAAGTTGGCTAAATAATTGTTTATTTAAATAAAGAAAAATTAATCATTTAGTCTCTGTAATTTTCATCTAGTTGTAACTCAATCCCTAAATTTTGACTTGTTATAACTCAGTTCCTGAAGGTTGAAATTTTAGGGACTAAATTGTAAGAAGCAAAGTTCAAAAATTGATTTATAACAAAGTCAAAACTTCAGGGATTACGTTATAACGAGTTAAAATTCAAGGATTAAGTTACAATTGGGTCAAAATTACAAGGACCAAATAATTAATTTTCTCTTTAAATAATTATTTTTTATGGTGGTTACAAGAATATCTGGATGGAGTAGTTATTTTGTTTTTAAAATAGACAAAGTATCCACCCATGATCAATGAGTGATATATTGGGTGATCTGATAAGCATACACGATGCATACGTTTAGTTTATTCCCCTTCTCAAAAACGCTCTTCATTTCTCTCTCTCTCTCTCTCTCTCAAGAAACGGTGTATTTACTGTGAAGATATATATATTAGATTCAAGACTATAACCCAAATTCGGTGAGGAAGGAGGCCCGAGAAATGTTGTCCTTAGCAAAGGTATGTTTCCTAGTCTCCACAAACCTACATGACTGACTAATCGAGTTGCTAGAATGGTAATGCCAGTGAGTAGTCTTTCTATTCATTGTGATTTGATCGGTAACTGCTTAATTGCATATTCAATGAATGATGAAGCAGGAGAAAAAAGGAGATTTGTGAAGTCAATTAATTAGTTTTTTTTTATCCGAAATATTTTTCATGTATGTATACAGTGTGTTGCAAGGGTTGTGTTAAAGGAGGAGCATTGGCAGCAACTATTATGTCCGGGTGTGGTTTAAGATTAAGCTTAGAATGCTCTCAATTATAATTTTCTTGTGGGAATAGATGAAATAATTTTTATATCGGTATATATTTGAGTAGCCCAATACATGAACATTCATTAAGGATATTTTATGATCTCAATTGAAGAAATAGCATGAGCCTTGAGATAACTTTTATTACTCTAAAAAGGTAATTATGGATTTGTCATGGAGGATAAACTTAGAGGAATATGGATTATTATTATCATTATCATTATTACAATAAGGTAATAATTTATAATTGACATTCTTGTAGAGGTTGTAGAGCGTAAGATTTAAGTAGAGATGCTTGCAATCTAGTTAAAGCATGGGTAAGTGGAAGCTTATAATATGTTAATTAGGATGTTGAATTTTGGAGACAAAATATTAAAAGAAGAAAAAAAATTTAATATCTTAATTTTCATTCCTATAATTTAAATAATATTGGGATATGATCTATCAAATAAAATGAGGGTTAAGATAACTAAATTTATAATTTTTGAGACACAGAGGAATATAGGATTGTAATTTAATGAAATAGAATATAAAATTGAAGAAAATCCTAATTAAGATAAATTAACTTTTATTATATTCTTAAAGCATTAAATTATTCTGTTATGGGGAAGAAGTTTAATAAAAATTTATTAACATTGAATTGAATTTAATGAGAATAAAATGCAGAAAGGATTAAAAATAAATTGAAAAAAAAAGATAATAGTCAGAGTCAATAGAGTTGAACAAACAAGTACGCCGGGGCCCTTCTACATCAGCTTCGTTCAATTTAATATAATACATTCGAATTTTATTGTAAAATATTTTTAATTCTTTCACGCATTTAAAAAAATTAATTTTTTTATATTATAAAAATAAAATGTACATCCTTTTTTATCTTTAATTTTTAATAATAACATAATTATATTAAATATTTTTTGTTAATAACAAAATAAAATTAAAAAAAGTGATTTAAATATTATAAATTATTTTATATTTTAAATTAAAAATTATTTTTCAAGAATGTGAAACAGGAGAAGTATAGATTATGTACGTACGCCCACAGACACAGAACAAAAATATCACCTTCTCCTCTGTCTCCGTCTTCTTTTGTGGCTCCAAGATATTTTAACAGTAATTCCAATTATTTTAAGACTATATAAGTTTTTTTAAATTTTTTTATAATTAATTAATAATATATCAACCTAAAATATAAATTTATATGAGCCAATTACACGCAATTTCCATACAACACACTTGGATAGATAAACCAGATTTATTTTAGTTGTAATTTTCTTTGCTAAATTATCCTGATCTCAAATAATTCTCCTTCTATTAATCTGCTTAGACTAAAATATATATTTAGTATCCTGATCTTAGATAATTCTCCTTTTATTAATCTGTTTAGATTAAAATTTACATTTCATGTTTTATTTTCTGTAAAATTTATTTTAATTTTTTAATTATATAAAATACCTTTTTAATCTTTTAACCTTAACAGTTTTGTTATAAAAAATATTAACATATTAATTTAATTTTTTAAAAAATAATAATTGACATAAAAATAATTATTTAAAATCAATAATATTAAAAAATTGAAAAATATTTTACAAAATTAAAAAATTAAATTGAAATCTTACAATTAAAGGATAAAAAAATATTTTTTTTAAAAAATAGAGAGAATGATAAAGAGGTCTAAAAAAATTAATTAATTTAATTTAGGTCTCAAGTGTTAAACTTCATAAATTTATAAGTCCATCTTTTAATTTTATAATTGTATTGTGATGAATTTGTAACTTATTTTTTAAATTTTAACATGGTTGAAGAATAAAAAATTTTTTTATATTAAAATTTAAAATAAGAGATACAAATTCACCATAAAAAAATTATAAAATTGAGAGATTGAATTATAAATTTTTAAAATTTAATACTTAAAATTAACTTAAATTAATTGAAACTCTTTGTCATCCTCTCAACAAAAAAAAAGTACACTGATGAGACGGAAATCCGCATTTTGCTGACGTGGAAGCATGAAACTGACTTTGAATTGCGTACCCATCCGGCAGGCCTCCGGGTCAATTTGATCGCCATCAATTTTTTATTGTCGGCCAGTTTCATCCAAATCCTAGCTCTCCTTTCCGTTGTTTCTTCACAGCCTCGATACTTCAACCATTTTTCCTTCACCTGTAAAACCCTAATTATTCTGCTATTCGTCACCATGACTGTCCCTTCTTCTAAGAATCGAGGTCTGTATCGCATTTTCATTTGCCATTTCTAAATGCTCTTGTATGCTTGTAGAATTCTTTATAATTGTACCGTAATTCTATCTAGTTTTAGTTAGTCATGTTGATTTTCTAGTTTGACTTTTCTCTTTAAAATTCATAAGAATATTGCTTGAGGATGCTATTATATGGATTATATTAGTTCTGAGGAGTGGCATGATGTTCATGATTATGTACTGGTTATGGAACTGTATTATTATGATTATTATTATTATTATTATCAGTTTCCAGCGTCTTATTTCCAATTCATGGGAGCTTTTTGTTATCGTACACAGTGTCTTGGTAGTGGAAACGCACCAATTGAAGACCCTGCGCTATTTCTTGTCTCTTGCTCTGATCTGATAGAATGATTATTCTTATCCTATGATTTTTAATCGGTCCTTTGAATATAATTGCCATATATGATGGTTAATAAGAGCTATTGTTACATACTTTGATTTCACAGGCGATGTTGTGAAAAATGAGATGCCTTCCTATTTTTATTTGCCATCGCTGGATATCTCTGTAGCATTTCCTCAAGCGACTCCAGCCTCTATATTTCCTCCATGTGGTAAGATTTGTTTTTCATAGTTCACGTCATGTTTAGAGAAATCTGATGTTTTGGAAGCTTTACTTCACCTAGACTAAAGAGGTTTAAAGAAGAGGTCGATTGTGTCTCTAGACTATCATGCTGTTTTAAAAACTTTGCATATGATGTGCTTATATATGTTTGATATAATAGACTAGATTTGGTTCATGTGCTTAGAAACTGGATGCCCCCCTTTCTTCCTTTACTGTGTTGTATGTCTTAACATTTAATTTATAATAAATAGGACTACTTTTTCACCCTTCTGAACGAAAACTACTCTCTATACATGCATGAATTTCTCAAAATTGTTATATCTAACATCTGCACTTAGAATTTACTGAATTGAAAGTACAATAGTAATATTATGCAACAGTTTTAATCAATAACAGACTAGCCCTGACTGTGCCTGAATCCAAAATCTGTTGGAGCTTTTTTCTGTGAGTACATGTTAATAATATTACTTGTACATATTGACTATACTGTGGCTTGAGTTCCTGTGAGGGAGACCCTGCCAAGTGATCTCACAAGTGTTTCCTCTGCCCTCAAATTCTTTTCTATAAAAATTCTCCAGTTAAGATATATAATTCATGCTAGTTTTCCCCATTTTCCCCATTCTAAAACAGTAGAGGCATTAGGTGGCCCAATTCTTTGGGGATTAAAAAAAAAAATTTCATTACTTGTTCAGTTTATCTCCCTTCCCAAGCTATTGTTACCTTGCGAAAATCTTTGTTGTTAGACAGAGCAAAGAAGCCGAACATTCATTATATTGATGCTCACTATTTTAAGATTTACATTTAAAGTTCTAAAATGCAGTCCTTATCCTTCACTTCTGTGTCTTCCCCATTGCATGATTTGTCAAGTTTGTAAATATTTTTGACTTGATTCAGGATTTAATGTTCTTGATTGTTGAACACTACAGCTTCAGATTACTATCAATTTAATGACATATTGACTCTGGAGGAGCAGGCTGTTAGAATGAAAGTAAAAGAGTGCATGGAAAAAGAAGTTGCTCCTATAATGGCTGAGGTATCTTCCTGTGATCCATTTAAAATGAGAATATGATATGATTGTTCCATTGTGTTTTGACTGCCTTTATTCTTTTCTTTCTTCTTGAATCAAATCTCTTGTTTGCTTGTGTTTCCCCCCTGAAGTATTGGGAGAAGGCTAAGTTTCCTTTCCATGTTATTCCAAAACTTGGCGCACTGCGTATTGCTGGTGGCACTATCAAGGTTCTGTCTTGCATATTATGTGTATATATATTCTATTATAAGAGACATGGTAAAGGAGGTGCTTAGCTAGTTCTGATTCTCAGGGTTATGGATGCCCTGGTCTTTCTGTTACTGGAAGTGCTGTAGCCACAGCAGAAATTGCTAGAGTTGATGCAAGCTGTTCAACTTTCATTTTGGTTCATTCATCCTTGGCAATGCTCACTATTGGTAACACCCCTATGTTTGAATGCTTATTGTTTCATCCATCAGGAAAATCTATCAACAATTCCTGATTTCTTTTTGTTTCTTTTATTAATTGTCAAGTACAGCTTTGTGTGGATCAGAAGATCAGAAGCAAAAGTATCTACCTTCATTGGCACAGCTACGCACTGTAGCATGTTGGGTAAGTTCCCTTTTCTGTCATCTCATCAGTTTGCTGTGGCACCACTTGTTAAAGATGTTTATTTTTCCATTTGTTAGGCTTTAACTGAGCCTGATTATGGAAGCGATGCCAGCGCTTTAAAGACAACAGCAACAAGGGTCTAGTACCTTACTCATCCTATCTATTTGCTTTTGCAACAACTTCTATTGTGTCTTTTTCACTTTATTTTGGCAGTCAAATTTCACTCTATTTAAGTATTCAAATTTCTTCAATCTTGTAAAATGGTTTGCGTTGAAAATATCAGGTTGAAGGAGGTTGGATCCTTGAGGGCCAGAAACGCTGGATAGGAAACAGTACATTTGCTGATTTGTTAGTTATCTTTGCTAGGAATACCACAACAAATCAGATAAATGGGTATATAACTAATGTTCTTAGTCTCATTATATATATGTGCATGTGCATGCTCATGTGCGTTCAAGTTTTTACTCAAATACCCATATTTTCTTGATCCGTTGATCTTTTTTCACAAGTTCTCATGTTTCTCCATGTGGTTTTTGACCAATAACTTAGGTATATTGTGAAAAAGGATGCACCTGGTTTGATAGTCACGAAAATAGAGAACAAAATTGGACTCAGGATCGTTCAAAATGGAGACATTCTTTTGAAGAAAGTTTTTGTCCCTGATGAGGATAGAATTCCTGGAGTGAACTCTTTTCAGGATACAAATAAGGTAAGATTGTATGTTGATTTTTTCTTTGCTATGATCTTAAACTGCAGACGACTTCAACAAGAAATTTCTAATTTAATCCTTACGTGTTGCTAGAACTTGGAGGACATCATTGTCTTAGATCCTTTGTCCTTGTAGTCTTGTACCTGTTTAGGATTCTTCTAATGTCTTCTAGTTTATTTGCAAGATCAGATGCCTGTGTTTTGCCCCCTTTCCCCCCTCTTTAGGCTGGAATAATCTTCAAATATCATCATGCCTTTACCACAAAAACAAGAATACTCTTCAAGTATAAATCATCCTTGGATAACAAGTTGAGATTACCATCTCCTCAGTTCATCTTGTCCATATATCGGTCATCCTTTTACGCTTGTTTCTTGATCTGCATAGTGGTTATTTGTTCTCTGCATTATGAAATAGGTACTTGCTGTTTCGCGTGTGATGGTTGCTTGGCAACCTATTGGCATTTCAATGGGCATATATGATATGTGTCATAGGTATGTGCTTTATTGGCATGCTTCGTACTTAAATTAGGAAAGCATTCTAAACTCTTGAGTAATTTAAAGGTACCTAAAGGAGAGGAAACAGTTTGGAGCACCATTGGCAGCTTTCCAAATCAATCAACAGAAACTTGTTCAGATGCTTGGTAACATTCAAGCAATGATTCTTGTTGGTTGGCGCCTTTGCAAGTTGTATGAGAATGGTAAAATGACTCCAGGTCATGCCAGCTTAGGGAAGGTTATGTCATAACCCTTGCATCATGTGTCTGTGTATCTGGTGATCTTGTCACGTTTGTTGTTGACCTTGGTGCTTCTTAGCGAATAACAAGCATTCAATTTAGGTCTCTGTCATCATCAGTGGTTGTGCTAGCTGCTAATTAACTTTTGTTATCAATTTTCAGTCGTGGATCACCTTGAGGGCAAGAGAAACAGCTGCCCTGGGACGTGAATTACTTGGTGGCAATGGAATTCTGGCTGATTTTCTAGTGGCAAAGGTTATTATTATTAATTCTTAAATTAAGTTTTTTTTTTTTTTTCTGAACATCCAATTTGATCTAGATAAAAATGGGATTAATTCGAGTAGATATTACCAAGCATGAAGTCTATTAAAATAAGATGGCAAGGATTGATGGAAAACGGAATGAAAAGAGTGATTTTGAGTTGAAAAATGACCCTTGTGACCTTTTTCTGAGAAAGTGATAAAGTATTGAAACTGACCTTTTTCCCGATCCCCATTTTATCAAAATTAGTAGAATTCATTCATTTCATCCTATTCAGTTATTTTTGTATATATATGCACAATAATATACGCACGTTGATAATTTTCATTTCTAAACATTAATATATATTTATTTTTAGGAATGCATTCAAATTTACTTCTTGGTTATTTTTGTTTTTCAAAATTTTACTGGAACTTCATAGAGCTATGCAAATATGAGTATGTCCCCGCCAAATAGGAAGGACATGGGACAGTAGTGTGGTGATGGGGATGAAGTTCGGGAAAGGCTTCCACATCCTTGTTTTGCCACATTGATGGTCCCCTTTGCGTTAGACGAATATTTCTAGACATCCAAGGAGCACTTCCACGCTATAATAATGCAACTTATGGAGTCTTTTTATTTTTTTAATCTCTTTTTCGCTGAGATTGACCTTGGGCCTATATGAGCAACTTTGTTTTCTGACTAAAAAGAAAAGCCTCTCTCAAATGTATATCTTGCATCGCAGGCATTCTGTGATTTGGAACCTATTTATACGTATGAAGGCACATATGACATTAACACACTGGTTACAGGAAGGGAAGTTACTGGTTTATCCAGCCTCAGGCCTGTTGCCCAAAGAAGTCGACTGTAAAAATGTAAAGTATTCCCATGGACTGATTTTATCTACTCAATTCTCTGCTGTGGTGGGTTTCTAATTCAGAAACAATCTTCTAGCGGATTTAATAATCATACAAGTGTTTGTATAGATGATGACTCAGTAAAATGGAAAATAATATGATCTTCCCTTGTAGTACGTTTCTTGTCTGCATTTGCTCTTTTCGTTTTTTCTGTTAGAGTTGAGTATTGATTGATGGACGGTCTGTTATAATTTCTACTATGACATTTGTTCTCTTTTTTGGTGTTGGGAAAGAGGATTCCCATATCTGAAATGATCACTTGTTTAATGTTATAGTCTCACAACACTTTGCAGGCATGCGGAGTCTATCTTGACATTTTTTTGTTGTATTCGGAAAATGCAGAAACATGCTCCGATTCCATGCTAAGCCAATATCATGAAGCCGATTTGTAGTAGACAATGCGTGCCTTGTCACTTACGAATCACATTCACAATATTTGCTGCACAAGACTTGATCTCATTAAATTAAAGTTGCATATTTGTTAATTTTTAACTACAGATTTAACTAATTGGCATCATTCTGGACGTACACGGCTAAAAAAGTTAGTCCATTAGAGTAAGATTAGATTTGACATTTGAAATGTTGAGACATTGAACTGTAAATTTGAAAAGGTTGTAGGGGTTATGATTCAAAGAAAAATTAATATTCTATACTTGCAAGAAACAGAATGACATGGAGAAGAAGTTAAGGATATTCAAAATTTTAAACTTTGGTATACAGTAAAAGTAAGTATATGCAATAGAGTAGGCATCATTGTTGATAAGAAGTGGAAGAAGAACGTTGTAGAAATTAGCAAAATTAGAGACAGAATTATTTTCTTAAAAATGATAGTTAGACATGAGACTGTTAATATTGTTAGCTCTTATGCGCCTTAAGTTGGGACAGAAGCTAGTCTTAAGGAATTATTTTGGGAGGATTTGGACGGATTGATTCAACACATACCACAGAGTGAAAAGGTTTTTATTGGAAGAGATTTTAATGGGCATGTCAGGAGGGAGGCTGGTTAGTATGCGAAAGTGCATGGTGGTTTTGGTTTTGGAGAGTTAAACAATGAAGGATAAATTATTCTTGATTTCTTATTGGTATATGATTTTAAAATTGTCAACACTTATTTCAAGAAGAAAGATGAACATCTTATCACTTATAAGAGTGGAACCTCAAGGTCACAGATTGATTTTCTTTTAGTTAGGAACACGGATAGAAGATTCTGTAAAAATTACAAGGTGATTCTCGGGAATGCTGTAACAACACAACATAAGGTCCTTATTTTTTATGTGTGTATTATGAGTAAAACTAAAAAATATCGATAAGTAGTAGTACCAATGATTAAGTGGTGACAATTAAAAGGTAAGAAACAAGATATTTTCAAGTGAAATTTTTTGGATGAAGGAATTTGGGAATATCAGAGAAGTGTTAACATCTTGTGGGAAAGACATGGTTAAAAAGAAAAAGGAGGTTGCAAAAGTAATTTTAAGAGAATCAAAAGGTTTTGGTTTGAGAGATGAGTCTTGGTGGTGGAATAATAGTGTATAAAACAAAATCAAACAAAAAAACTGTTTTAAAGCCATACATTTGTGTAATAATGAGGAAAATTGGAAAAGATATTGTATGGTTAAGAAGAGAACTAAGAGAATTGTGAGTAAAGTTCGTTCTAAAGTTTTTGAAGAATTTTATAAGAGTCTTGAGACAAAGAAAGGAAAATAAAACATTTATAAGATTGCTAAGAGTAGAGAAAAAAAATCAAGAGATCTAGAACAGGTAAGGTGTATAAATTTGTCATTCTATTGAATAATATGTAAGAACGAGATAAAGGAAGCTCTTAAAAAAATGATAAATGGTAGAGTCAACGAACCTGATTGTATATCTATTGAAGTATGGAAATGTTCAGGTGAAAAAGGGGTGAGATAGTTAATTAAGTTATTTAATGTGATTTTATGGCCTAAGAAAATGCTTGATGAAGGGAGGAGAAGTACATTAATTCTTATTTATAAAAATAAAGGGGATATTCAGAATTATACTAACTATAGAGGGATTAAACTCATGAGATACACAATGAAATTGTGGGAGAAAATAATTAAACATAGGTTGAGATTAGAGATAAGTATTTCTGAGAATTAGTTTGGTTTTATGCCAGGTGGATCGACTATAGAGGTGATTTATCTACTAAGGGGATTAATAAAAAAGTATCATTGTAAAGATAAAGATTTACACATGATTTTTATTAATTTGAAAAAAATTTATGACCGTATACCAAGATAAGTGCTTTGGAAAGCTTTAAAAAAGAAGAGAGTACGGATTGCTTTTATTAAAGTTATACAAGATATGTATGAGAGGGTAAAAACTAGTATAAAAATGTCTAGTGATCAAACAAAGAATTTTCCTATAAAGATTAGATTACATTAGGGATCATTTTGAATCTTTATCTATTTAACTTGTTCCTAAATATTTTGATAGAAAATGTTGAAGGAGAAATTCTCAAATGTATGCCCATCGCGGATGATATAGTTTTTATAATAGAGACAAGAGAAGAGATTAATTGTAAACTTGAGTTATGGAGGAGGACATTAGAGTCGAAAGGTTTCCGTCTGAGTAGGAGTAAGACGGAATATTTATATTGTAAATTTGGTAAGAGACTAGTCGACAGTAATTTGAAAGTAAAATTGAGAGATCAAATTATACCTCAAGTAGAAAAGTTTAAATATTTGGGAGCCATCATTCAAAATGATGGTGAAATCAGTGGAGATATTTCATATAGGATTCAAGTTGGGTGATTTAATTGGAGAAAAGTTAAAGAAGTTATTTGTGATCATAAGACGCCTAATAAACTTAAAAGAAAGTTTTATTGTACTGCTATCAGACCGACTATGTTATATGGTAGCGAAAGCTGGGCTCTAATGGGATAGCAAAAGCATAAAGTTGGAGTAGCAAAGATGAAAATGTTATGATGGATATGCAGACATACACATAAAAATAAAATTCAAATTGAGCACGTACACAAAAAAGTAAGGGTAGCACCTATTGAGGAAAAATGGTAGAAAATCATTTGAGATAGTTTGGACATGTACAAAGAAGACCGCGTAAGGCACTAATGAGAAGAGTAAAACATATAACTTTGAGCCCTGTTAAAAGGGGCAGAAAAAGGTCTAAGAGAACACTCTTGGAAGTTGTTGAACGCGATCTTTTAATTAATAATATTTTTAAAATCTTGATAAATGATAGAGCTCAATGGTATTTTATAATCCATATAGCGGACCTCACCTAATGAGATAAAGGCTTGTTGTTGTTGTTGTTAGGCATAACCTATAAATGAAATGGTAAGTACTTTCAGTGCCAAACTGATGGTACTTTTCATACATGAGTTTTCCCGCCCCATTTATCCTAATTTATCACTTGAAGTTCATCCTTCTTTTATGTATTCATTTAGCTTGAAAAATTCATTTTTGTGTAGGTGTCAATGTAAGCAAAGTTCCATTGAATATAGTGGCAAGAGACCTAGGTCATTTATGTAAGCTTTCCTGTTGAATTGGCTGGCTTCCCTCCTTTGTGATTATTACTAGCTATGTGTGTTGCATGATACTATTATACTCCATTAATAACCAAATTTTTGGTTATATTATTAACCAAAATGCCTTGTTTAACAATTTTCATTATGTGTTCTCTTGAGCCTTCATCTATCTTTCTTCACGTGGTTCAAGATTATCTACTTCACCTTTTTCACTTGTGCCTCTCATAGCATTGTTTGCACATATTCAAATCATTTTAAATGATTTTCAATCATCTTCTCCTTCGTATATGTTACATTGACTCTTTCTCATATGTACATATCATGAGTCTTATTTTTTCTTATATACCTACACATTCATTTTAACATTTTTATATTTACTACTTTAATTTTATACTTGTCGTTTTAAAGTCTAACATTCACTACTTTAACATTAACTCTGCATATGTTTCATAGTTGGTCTCTAGTCTAGATAAAAAGAGAGTTGTGTTAGGTCATTGACAATCAAAATAAAACCACCAAATCTCACATTGAATATGGACAAAATACAAACTTACAGTTATGAAAAAATAATGATGTTCTGGGATGTTGCTTGAGAGCCTGGGGCCCATTTATGGAAGTACCTCTTCTCTCTTCTCTCTTAATGTTGATTCGAACACTTGAAACGTGGGAGGATCATTATCCTCAACGCTGACATGGAAGTCGAATATTAACAGAAGCACCTCTCCTCTAGATATGCTTTACCTCAATATTAATTATTTATGCCATTCATCATTGTTCAATGCTCATTCAAAGAAAACATTCACCGAGAAGGACTGAGATACCACTAGATATTAATCCAAAGGGCATAAATTGGTGAGATGACCTACCCCGACATTGTAATATAGCCCAAGCTGCTGACAACTACATCCCATGCTAGTCAAGAACAAATTCCAAACAAAAGCGAAGAGTTGAGACAATGGCCCAATAAACCAGGGAAAAAGAAAAACCTACGTTCAAATGAGTGCTGATGGAGATAATAAAGAGGAAATTTGTTGTGGCTGCTGATAGATAAGTGCCTTTTCACTTAGGTCTTCCACGCAGACATCCCTCAACCATCTTTTTTTTTTTTTGTTAATATTAACGACTTCGACTAATTTGGATCCAGTCGGTCGGAATTCTTTTAGGTGAAAGTTTTATCATCCAATGCTTATCAGACGCTGCTATTATATTCCTTGAAGTCAACCTTGAAACATCTAATTAAGTTGGTACAATTCCGGGTACTTGTTGGTATTCCCTAACTATTAGTCTAAATTTGGTTGTATTCTCATTCTCATTCTCTATATATTATAAATTATGTATTAGCTATTACCAATATTATCTATGTAGATGGTTGCATTCCCTTGACCATTAAATTGATTCTCTATGTTTCATCTATACATTATATATAATATTCAGGAAGCCTTCTATTATGAATTATAAATAATATAATTCATTTAAAATCAGTATAAGCCTGTATTTGCATTCAAGTTAAGTAAATGAATAATATTTTGTTTTTTTTTTTTGGCCTGAAGTAAATGAATAATATTTAAATCATTATGTTTGGTTAGGTTACTATTTTTAGGAGAGAAAAAGAAAACATTATGATTATAGATGTTAACAGTGATGGAAAGATTTGGTCCCAAAAACAAAGAAATTGAAAGGTTAAAAAAACAAAATGTCTCGAAATTCTAATGTACCGGTTATGAATTATGCCCATAGAAGAACAAGATGAAGATGAAGATCATCAATACATCAAGTTGTATTACAATAGGATAATAAAATTCTAAGTACACTCTATGAATACAAAAGGCTGCAACTTTGAAATCATCAACACATAGAACTAAACACATTCAGCCGTAGGCGGCCAAAAAATATATACATTCCACCGTAGAATACTATATGCATAATGCCGACGAAGGTAGGAGACTCTGACTTCAAAACAGTTTCAAAAAAATAAAATTTAGTTTCAGACCGAATCAAATCAAATGACATGATTTGGTCGGAATAGAAAAATTTGCTGAAACAGAAAATCCTTGAGATTCCAGTAAAGTAGTAATAAACCACAGATACCTTCCTACCCACATGCACCACCCTGTGCGTCTTTTTCCAGACCCCACGTTCTAATCCTGACGTGAAGCTCGGCCACGGCCACCAGCACATTCACAGCCTGACATGGCTTCAATATCTTCGTCATCTTCAACGCCATGTTCATCCTCAACGTGTCTGCATTCACCATCAAATTCTCCAACGCGATCTTCAACGTCTCCGGCACTTCACCACCCTCCCCTGCTCTATACGACTCGCCCAAACCCGATCTCCCATGGCTTCTCGCCGCCTCCACCAGCGGCGGTGCTCCCACGCTCTCTTGAATCTTCGCCAACTCGTCGTTAAGCGCCCGCTCTTCCGACTTCGTCTCCTGGTTGAGCTCGTTTATTCTCTCCCTCTGTTCTTCGGACAAATCATCCAAAACTTGATTCGCAAGCTGAATCACCATCCCCGGTTTGAATCCCGCGATCCAGAGAAAGGATCGTTCCAGGGAACTGAACCAAGAGGGAGAGAAGGCGAGGAGGATGTCACGGTTCGCGATTCTCGATTTCTCTTGGTAGTACTGCTCGTAGTGGGAAAGCACCCGAGAAATCAGCTCTCTGCGATCATCGTCGTGCAGTTCGTGGCGTCTTCGCCGAGCAGAGACAAGCTCATCGAGGAGGTCCTTCTGCCGCACCATCCATTCTCGAAGAAACGCCTCGAACGAAGCAGCATTCGCATCAGTCATCTATCTAAAAGTCACAGCGCCAACGAAGAAGACAATTTGGTTCAATGTGGCACAAGGTCGGGAGAATGAAAGTGGAACTTGGGTGGTTTGCTTAGAGGGAAAGTAATTCTGGAAGAGGAGGCGTAATGGTGGAAGAAGAATCATTTGGAGAGAGGGAGGGATGTGAGGGCGGTGTTCGGTTAGAGAAAAAGAAGAGAGCCAATGGGAAGAACCGGTGTGGAGGAAATGGATCGGTGAGATTTGTCGTGAAGTGAGGGAATAGGGAGAGAGAGGAAACATAAGTGGTGAAGGCGAGGGGGATGAACTTGGGGGTATTTTGATTCTTGTTCGTTCATTGGAAGGAGGATCAAATTATGGAGAAGGTGTTGGTATTTGTGATTTGGGAATTGCATGCCTTTCATTATTGCAATATTGGATTCCTCCCTTCTGACATCCTCCTAAGATTTCAATTCTGCCATTTTCATACCTCATTCACACATCACCCTCCTACCCCTCCATCCTCACTTCATTCACTATTAGCGTGGATGCTGTACATATAACATATTCAACTGTGATGAACTATAACAAAAAAGTATTCATTTTTATTTAAAAAAACTGAGGGTGATTCATAATGCATCCCTGAAATTAACCCTATTAGGCAAAAAAATCCCTTAAATTTATAGGCGTGGGACTTATAAAGCTCCATGGCCAGTCTTTTCCATGACATGAACTTCTCCATGAAAATAACAATATGACAAATACAACTTTAAAAAGAGAGCTCATTTCAAAAAAAAAAAAAAAGGAAAAAACTAACATGATAGGTAAAAGAAATAAATTTCACTTTTATTGTAAGACTACTATTATGGGATTCTTGACTTGATTGTACTAAAATCTTTAGTTTAATCCCTTTATTTTCATTGTAGAGGGACCATTGTAATGGAATTTCAGAAATAAAACAATTTTTCAGTGGAAAAAAAGAAGATAATGTATAACAACTTCCCCTCTCTTTTCACCTTTTTTTTTTTAATTTTTTTTGTACACAATGGAAAGATAAATCCGAATGGTGGTGTTATGACAAATGATGACGGCGTAGAAGGAGTGGCCCGATCTATGGAGCCAGTGGGGGAACCCTGTGACTGCATGAGACAGAGTGATGAAGGTGGTGCTGTTGCTTTGAAACAGTTGACACTTGTTCATCAACGAAGGAAGCCATTAAAGGTCATGCACATGTCTCAAATTACCCCCTCCTAATATTACTATAACTTAACTTCACCTAAACTTATGAAGATGCTTTCACGTACAATTATATATTTAAATAAAAAATAGCACAGAAAAATGAAATAACGTATGAAGTTTGCATTTTCTTTTCATACTCGTTCACACTTCCCTTTTTCGCCCAAGGCACAATATGCAGTTACCTGTAATTGAAAATGATTCTAGCCATAGATAATGAATTAGTTAATCATTTGAACTGGAGATCAATGGAAAAGAGTAACAGGTAAAAAGGTAAAATTCATGGAATAACTAAAGAGACCTTATTGGTTATTACCTATCTGTCCTTTTTCTCTATGTCTCATGTCTTTCTCTGTCTGTCTGGAATTCTGGATATCATACAGTAAACTTGCAGTTATAGCCATCAGAAATTCCGACTCTCACTTGCAAACACTGTCCCACACGTTGGGTTCATTGCATTATATTTGCATGTAGTTGTGGCAGACGAACAACGACGATTTAAGCATCCAACAAACACGACACTGCCAAACAAATTAACCATAAAAAATCCCAAATGATTGGTTGAGGAATCATCATAGTGACTCTATCAACTGTAGTTAACCGCAACTTGTTTGATTGGCCGTAAAAGATTTCTTGTCACCTGGCCTTTTAGCCTTGACATATATAACCTGATTTTGAAAGGACCAAAACTGCTAATGATTTGAAGTATCTCAAAGATATAGTTATATGAACAATCTGCCCCTTGGCAATATTCAATTAAATATACGAAATTGTTGACTAATTAACCCTATGTTAATTTTAAACAACTTTTAGCCATAACATGATACCAAAGTGAAAAATGCCAGCGCATCACCCGAGAATAGAAGACTTTTTTTGGACTTAATAGGAATTCCGCCTGTTTTTTCATTGTACATCCACCAAAGCCAAGAACAAAAAGGGAAGAGGGTTATATCAACCCTTGGCAACGATCATAAAACCCTATTAACCCATAGGGCATGGATTACAGACTAAATAGGAAAAATAAATAAATTACCCAACGCAGTCAAGATAGTAACTTTCACATCAAAACAAGAATAAAATTTCTTCAGTTATTAGTCATCACATTTATTAATAATAAAAGAAATTATATTTAAAAAATAAAATTGTAAGAAGAACTAAATTATAAAAAGATGAAGTAAGGATCATGAATTAATAGAATAATATAGATTTAGTGACAATTGAAAGTGGGCAATAAATCCATGGAAAACCTAAGATAGCAAATTACCAAAAATAAGTCATAATTTCAGCGGCTGAACTGCAAGGCATGGTTGACATAAATTGCAGGCCAATTTACTGTTGATTCCTAACATTGCTCAAAAACTAACAAATCAAGCAGATTTCATATATCTCTACCATGAAGAATACTACCTGGTTCATTTTCTTCGTTCTAATGACCACCATATTGCATTCAAATATGAAGCAACAGGTTGAGGCATCGGATATAGGTGAAGATCTGTGCAAGAAAACTGGACATTCTTTGATTGGATGTATGAAAAACCAGTCTCCACTACTCCACCCTCAACCATTTCATCCTGGATGCTCTCCACCGTCAAGATGTCGTCGAAGAAAGATTCACGGTTAATTTTTTTTTTTTAATGAATTTTGACTCGGATTTGAATTCGGATTCTTATGAAGTTTTTGAAGACGATTGATTCGAGTATTACAGGTCCATATTTTTGTTTTTGTTTTGCCATGATTATGAGTCAGACAAAATAAGTACTCCTTGCGTAGTATTTGTCAAAATTCAGATGCAGTTAATCTGTAAAATTGTGTTATTATGTGCCTTTATATGTAGTCATTTCCTTGTGTTTTTGTAGGTGTGTATGGGATTTGCCTACTCATTTAGAAGTGAGTGGACAATTTGTTACACATATCAATGTATATAATCGGTGATGATCGTACAACTATGATGATTTAAAAAAAAAATTCATGTATATTTCATAAAGTTTTAGCATTACTTAATGTCTAAAAATTTCTCTTTTTATTTTTAAATCAATACTTGAAAGCGTAGCTTTGTAGGGTTCAAGGGCATTGTTCATCATGGAGATTCCAACTTCCCAGTGTCTATCATTCAAGTTATATACGCTAAACAAGCAAAAACTTGTTGGCCAAAAAAAAAAAAAAAAAAGCTATACACAGAGTAAACCCCAATATACTTTTTTCACCTTTACCTACTTTGTTGCACAGGTTTAAAGTGCAAGAATAGGCAAACAAACAATCCAAGTTTAAAAACATTCTTAAATTTATGCAAAACTAGATTTAATCCCGTGCATTGGACGGGCAAGATTTTAATACACGGACCCAATTCGTGGTTATATAGAACAAATTTCTGAACGATTACGTATGCTTTTACCTAAACAAATGGAAACATGAAAAAGAATTAAGAGATATACCTTCTCTTACACCGAGCAAACTGCATTTTGGTTCAAAGCTACTTCCATTTCAATCCCTCAATTTTACCTATCCACAGTAAAACCCATACTGACACTTCAATTAACTCGAAGTTGAATTATCCTTACACTGATGAAATCACAGAGCTCCGGCGCAGATTTCCAATAAGCATTTACAGTTGCTGCTACATTACGCGATTTACCGATGAACTGAAGCTCATCGTTCCTCGGCAGCACAGCCACAGACTCCGTCTCACTTCTCGACGAATTTCTTGATAGCTAAATCTACCAACCATGCTCGAGCTTAGCGTTAATAATTAAGAATTTGAACGCGCGGGTACAGAGGATGTGGTTTGGGAAGAGAATAGAATGGCGAAGTAGGGGCATTTGGGCAGAAGACGATAGTGATTATAAAAAAGAAGAGAAAATGGCAGTTAAGTGTAAAAATATCAATTTATTAACCATTAATTGATTTTCAAATATTAAGTTAAACAATTAAAATGTAAGTGCTTAATTTATAATTCAAAATTTTAAATTTACAATAATTTAAATCAATAATTACGATTTATTTTTAAAAAAAGGTTGTTAGAAACTTAATTATTATTAAATTAATTTTTTGGAACCTATCTCAAAAGTATCACGTGTTCGATGGGAAACGTTGTGAGTTGTGATTGTGAGTGAGATTTGCAAATAAATTTGGTGCTTAACTGTTAGTTGAGAAATTAGTTCCATTATCAACTCAATCTGCTACTTGGACCCTACAAATGGATTAATTTACAAGTTTTTTAATAGTTTAAAATTCTAAGTAACAAAAATGAATCCATGAATTTGCATAAAGTGGTCAAAATGAATAATGTGTGATAGAAAGTGGTCAAAAATGAGTACTGTGATAGATTTTACCATCCCGATTAGAGTTATCCTTCGCTAATTAAAATATTTATATTTCTTTCTTCTGATTATAGGATGAAAATGAAGGGGTGAGGGTATGGATGAACAAAATTGGATCGGGTACAACAGTTGCACTTCCTTTTAAATCATCAAAGAAGAGAGGTAGAAATTAGAAAATGTTAAATAACGTGTATGATGTGTTAAGTAATATTTCCTCCATTAAAAAATATAAGGTATTTTTTAAAGAGTTGAATGTTTAAAAATGTGAGGCATTTTTAGTTTTTTGAGGTGTAATCATTACTTTTTTAAAAAAATATCTCTATTAAAAATAATTTTATATTTATTATAGGATGTTTAATATGAGTAAATATAAAAAGATATGGTTAGTTCAAAAGTAAGTAATTACTTTATTAAAAAGTGAAATTCGATTAAAAATGTGTTATATTTTTAAATTGAGGGAGTAAGTAAACAAAATTATAACTACGTAAATATTAAATTTTAAATTTAAATATGCATAAATGTATAAAACATTTTTACAAGAGTTTTTCTTGTAATTGAATTTGACAATACTTGAATTTGACTCAAGTAATAAATATATCAAAATATTTAAAACTATTACTTTTATTAGATTTTTATATTTTTGTCTGAAGGGAAAAAATTATGGCAACAATCTTTTAGCTAGCAATGTGAAAGAAGATGATTTCAGAATTAAAATAAAACAGGAAACTCATCCTATTGTTGGCCTTAATTTATTTATGATTGGACAGAAGTAAAAGCAAAGGAACTTAGAGAGGGAATAATTTGCAACCTACAAATGGCAAATTGAGGTAATCGCATTAGGTTAAATTCATTATTCAAGCAACAGGATAATTAATCAATAAGCTATATTGTTGCAATAATCCTAGGAATCTACTGTTCCTTGATGATCATTAATTCGTGGCTGGGTTTTTATATATGTGTTGAACTAACGATTTTATTTGCCTATAATTTGAGATCTATCTTGCTTGGGTTGTTGCTACTAATAGGACATGTTCACCTCAATTAGCTGATTTTTGGTTAAATGGTCAGACTTGACAACAAGTAATTGTATATGTTTTGAGTTGTAACGTCCTTATCAGAATTCCACATATGACTAAGGCAGCTTTCAGTGGTAAAATGTTCACACAAGAATGCATTAGGGTCAGTGCATATTGCTGGCTTGCTGCATTGCTACTTCTTCACTTGACTTTCACCTATCAAACTTTCATTTTTCCCCAAACATCACCCTTTCCCACATTAATTAAGCCTTGATCTTAACTTAAAAAGTAATTAAATCATTGAGCGAAAATTCTTATATAACATCTTGGAATATTATTTAGTATTTCAGTTTTTCTTTTAATATTTTTCATTTTTAAAAACACATAATGAAAATGATTTTTTAAATACAAGCTTTAAAAATAATTTCCAAATAAAAAAAACTAAACTAAATTAGATAATTTAAACTTAAACAGTTGCTTAGTTTTGATGTTTTGAAAGGATCCAAATCAAATTGATTACTGATTAGATTCCCCGTAGGTATGAATGAATATCAATTATCATGATAGTGCCCTTAAGCAGTAAGGCATTTGAATTGGTCAAATCTTGTTTGCATAATTAAAACTTCCTTAAACATTAATTTATGGAAGGGAGAAAAAGCTCAAGTACAAAAATAACCAGTAAATTTCACCCAGTAAGAAACTAAATTTAAGGTCAAGTCACAAAACCAAGTTCCCATTCTATAGTCTTCACACCCAAATAAATATAAAGGAAAATTACAATTAAGTCTCAAAAAAGAAAATTTATTGCTTCTTAATTCATTTACAAGTCAAATTTCTATATTTACATATTAAATTTCAGTATTTACAAATAAATGTTATCTCTTAGGAGGTAGGATTAAGATTTGCTTCAAGCAGCATGTACAAGTGAGTGAAGATTTATATGTACTTTTTTCATAAATATATCTCGGAAGACCTACCACGGAGGCACGGACAGACACCATACTACAAAATTCACCAAGAAGAACAACATTAGGGCAAACGACTAGACCTAACCTACTGCATACATACAGATACCATTTTTCACAGTTCACCAAGAACAGAGTCGAAAAGATTACAAGGAAAAGGTACTATTTATGATATTGACAAACAACTTTCCATTTCTTGATATAGACAATAAAGAGATCTGGTTTGCCATCACACTTGAACTCATAGGAGACAGAGAGAGAAATGATGGCTTCAAAAAGTATACCTTCAGAACTATTAGTTAAGAAATATAGTAGCAAATAATCACGATTAGCAAGTCAGATTCAATATTTTTTCAAAGAAGCCTGAAAACTTCTGCGAATATTACAAATGCATCAAAGGGAAGCGGAAAATGCAACCTTGAATTACTTGGAAGAAACAAAAAATTTAACTTGTGCAGAGTTAGAGTACACCTTAGCAGCTTAAGGAATATTCAATCGGGGTCCTACTTGTAGATGTAAGCCTTGCAACTTAATTCTCAACCTCCACTATGCTTTACCCATTGTTTATTCATAGCAAAAGTATACTATGCTTTAACTTCACTTCTACTCAAAACCCCATATAACCTTCCTCTCTAAACTCTTCTTCCAATGTCTTCATCATTCTGTTGTGCTGTGCACTTCTTCTTCTTCTCTGTCTCCAACACCTTTAAGCTTCTTTCATTCCCCCAAAACCCCATGTTTCCTTCAGCAATAATGAACCCTCCCAGAGTAAAGCTGCCTCTCCCCATCATTATCACTTCAATTTGTGTTCTTTTCTTCTTTCTGGTTCTCTATGCGGAGAGACTCAGCTTTCTCTCTTCCTCTTCCTCCTCCTTCTTCATGTTCAAAACCTGTCCCAGGAGGAGCAACAAACTAAAATCCAGTAAGTCAAGTCAGCTTCATGAAACTTTTCCTACTTATGTTCTGAGCAATTTGGTTCTCAATTGACAGCTTCTGATATTATTATTGATGAGCAGATGATAAGAAAGCAGAGGAAGAAGGAGGAATTGGCTCACTGGTTGATGACAGGTTCGACTTTGATCCAGAGGAGTGCAATGTTGCTAATGGGAAATGGGTGTTTAACCGTTCCATGAAGCCAATGTACACAGACAGAAGCTGTCCATATATAGATAGACAGTTTTCTTGTGTCAAGAATGGAAGGGAAGACTCTGATTATCGCCACTGGGAGTGGCAGCCGGAAGATTGTATCTTGCCTAAGTAAGAATTTTCCCTAATTTTTATGATTTTTGGCCACTATATAAATATGTCATTTGAACTACTGTTGTTCACATTTATAATGATGTTAAATGGTAGATTTGATCCACACCTGGCACTGAAGAAACTTAGAGGGAAGAGGCTGATGTTTGTGGGGGATTCATTGCAGAGAAATCAGTGGGAATCTTTTGTGTGTTTGGTTGAGTGGGTCATACCTGAAAATCGCAAGTCTATGAAACGAGGGCGTATTCATTCAGTCTTCAAAGCCAAGGTACAAAAACAAAAGCTTTTTGCTTGGTTTGGTATAAAGAACAGAGAGATTTGTGGTTCTGAATCATGTTCGTTTTGAAATATATACAACTTGATGATGGTTGAACATGAAGGTACTCAGGTGGAAAACACAGTGATATGTTTTTTGTGTGATGTGTAGGATTATAAAGCAACAATAGAGTTCTATTGGGCGCCGTTCCTTGTGGAATCCAACACTGATATACATATCATAGCTGATCCAAAGAAGAGGATAATAAAAGTGGATGAAATCTCAGAGCGTGCCAAGAACTGGACTGGAGTGGATATCCTTGCTTTCAATACGTATGTATGGTGGATGAGTGGCCTCAGGATAAAAGCACTGTGAGTTTTCTCTCTTCTCATACTTTGTAAATATTTTATCATGTCGAATGCTCGAATTCTTCTATCCTGCTAGAAAAAAAAAAATCCTTTAATAAAACCTGTCTTTTATAAATCAATTCATCTGTCAAGTGTTATAAATATTGTAACAAGACATTTATGTACAATTGGATACTTCAATTTCAAAACAAATTTGAATTTCAATACTTTCTGTATATTCATATTGCATAAGAATGTAAAACAAGTTGCGGGATGGATTCAGTTCTTCTGCTTTGACCCCAAAAAAAAAATTCTTCCGAGTACATTTCAGACCTCAGTTTAACATAGACTTCTACAATTCAAACATAATGAAACCTATTAACTAATCTCATATGAGACTGAAATTGTCATCTCAATAATGATTTGGATCATTATATTTTTCGTTTATGGTGAGTTTGATGGAAAGCTTGTTACAGTGTGGTGAAAGTTGGGAATGGTGTCATTGCAGATGGGGTTCATTTGCAAATGGAGAAGAAGGAAGTGAAGAATTTGATACACCAGTTGCTTACAAGTTAGGTTTGAAGACTTGGGCCAATTGGATTGACTCAAATATCAATCCAAACAAAACCCGGGTTTTCTTTACAACAATGTCTCCTACACACACTAGGTATTTCTCTCTTTGACTTGGATCCATTTAAGTGTATGTCATCTAAAATGAAGAGAGAAATAAATATAAAAAAAGTTGGCCTCACTTCTAATAATGGGATCTCATAGAAGCAAAACCAACTTTTTTTTTTAATGTACATCTCCCTCATTACTTTAGGTGAATTGCATTTTATAAAATTCAAATCTTTTCATGCTCCCTTTAATATAAACATATTCATTTAACAGTTTTGATGTAGAAATTCAGATAATCTAAAATGCATTTCACCTAAAATGAAGATATATATATATATATATATATAAATGAGCCCAACTTTCCAATAATATGGGTCCCACATAAGTAGAGTTTACCTCTTCATATATATTTCTTCACGTTGTGATCAAACCCCCTCCAATAATAAAATCTTTCTTCAACAGCTTTAATTTGGATAATTTAACCAAGTCCAAAACCATCCTTTTACTAATAATCCTTATAGTAGTAAGTTTTGAAATACCAAGAAGGCTAGACGGAACTGAATCAGACACAAGCAATAAGCTGTGTAACAATGCAAATGAGGCATTATTGTTTGATATTTCAGAAGTGCAGACTGGGGAAACAAGGATGGGGTGAAATGTTTCAATGAGACAAGGCCAGTGAGGATGAAGAAGTACTGGGGAAGTGGTTCCAACAAGCAAATAATGAGTGTAGTGGCCAAAGTGGTGAAGAAGATGAAAGTTCCAGTGAATGTGATCAACATAACACAGATCTCAGAGTACAGGATTGATGGTCACTCCTCAGTCTACACGGAGACAGGAGGCAAATTGCTTACTGATGAGGAAAAACAAGACCCACGAAACGCAGATTGCATACATTGGTGTTTGCCTGGAGTTCCAGATACATGGAATCAGATATTTTTGGCCATGTTATAGCAAAATTATAAATATCGACATGGGGAAATTGTCAATGTGATTTTTGTTTTATTTTCCTGAGGCATGAAGATGTCAAAGTCTATGAAGTTATATGTTCATATATCATACATTCATCTTTCTTGGGGCATTTGTTTGATGTAAATTTGCACATGCTTCAGAAAAAATCTGCAAGCATTTTAGGTGTAACAGATTTTCAAATCTAAAACGAATAATTATCAGTATCAATCAATTACCTTTAGGATCTTCTTATTTGAGCTGTAATATTATCAATGTACATCATCAATGGCATTTTAATGTGTTAAGATTGTAGGTTAACTCTTCTTTCCTTAAAGGGTAATTTGTGGTATTCATGTTATTTTAAATAAGAAAAAATTAATCTTTTAATCCTTCAATTTTTAACACATTTATAACTCAGTCCTTCAACTATGACTCGCTACAAGTCAGTCTCTCAACTTTTGATTCACCTATATTTCGGTCCTTATTTTTTATTTTTTTTAAATTCTTATCAAATAAAGGGGATAAAAAAATGCTCATATATTATTCTAAAATACCCTTCTTTTGCTCATTGATGTGAGATATAAGCTAACATGAAAAAAAAATTAATAAAAGTTCAAGGATTAATTTGTAAGTGATTCAAAAGTTGAGGGACTCAATTACAAGTGAATTAAAAGTTGGAGGATTAAAAAATTAATTTTTCTTTTAAATAAAGCATGTAAAAGGGATTCAATAATAATAATCATACTTTTCAGAATTACAAATTCAATATTGAGTTAAAATTATATACTTAGATATCAATTATGACATTATTTTCAGTGCTTATAATGACTTAAAACAAAGAATACCTTAAAACTTGTAACAAAAAAAAGAATACTTTTAACACTTGCAAATTTAATATTAATTTTTAGGTAGATTATACTTTTGTTAAAAAATTGTACAAATGTTTCCTCTATTTTAAATTATAAACCAACTTTTCTTCAAATAGAAAATTATCTTCCACTAAAATTGAATTTTAAAATTTTCACTAAAACTGACATGACTCCTTAATCTCTATTTAAAACTTTGAAATTTGAAATATATAGTTTTCTATTAGTGTTTTTTTATACCTTGATATGTCGATGATGTGCTTTACTTAACAAGTTGTTAATTTATAAAATATTTAAGATAATTCTTTATATTTCAATAGAAAAAATAAACCAAATTATACTCCATCTGTTTAAAAATATAAGGTATTTTTTAAAAGGTAGGATGTTAAAAAATATAAGACATTTTTAGTATTTAAAAATATAATAATTACTTTTTTTAAAGTATTTCTATTGAATGAATCACTTTATATTTATTTTAAAGTAAAATATCTTATTAAATAGGAATAAATATGAAAAGATAAAATTAGTTTGAAGACAAATAATTACTTTATTGAGGTAAGATTTGATTAAAAATATTTTATATTTTTTAATTAAGAAGGTATATTCTAATAAATATACTTTAAAATTAAATTAGACATTCGGATTTGGAAAATGAACACTTTTTTGGGAAAATTTCTAGGAGGGACTTTTGACCAAACATAATAAAAAAAATTTCATAATTTTTGAAATTTTACTGTAGGTATGGGGTACTAAATTAAAATTAAATTTGTGACAAAAATGATAAAATTATCCTCATTTAAATGAACAACATAGAAGCAAAACCAACTTTTTTTTTTAATGTACATCTCCCTCATTACTTTAGGTGAATTGCATTTTATAAAATTCAAATCTTTTCATGCTCCCTTTAATATAAACATATTCATTTAACAGTTTTGATGTAGAAATTCAGATAATCTAAAATGCATTTCACCTAAAATGAAGATATATATATATATATATATATATAAATGAGCCCAACTTTCCAATAATATGGGTCCCACATAAGTAGAGTTTACCTCTTCATATATATTTCTTCACGTTGTGATCAAACCCCCTCCAATAATAAAATCTTTCTTCAACAGCTTTAATTTGGATAATTTAACCAAGTCCAAAACCATCCTTTTACTAATAATCCTTATAGTAGTAAGTTTTGAAATACCAAGAAGGCTAGACGGAACTGAATCAGACACAAGCAATAAGCTGTGTAACAATGCAAATGAGGCATTATTGTTTGATATTTCAGAAGTGCAGACTGGGGAAACAAGGATGGGGTGAAATGTTTCAATGAGACAAGGCCAGTGAGGATGAAGAAGTACTGGGGAAGTGGTTCCAACAAGCAAATAATGAGTGTAGTGGCCAAAGTGGTGAAGAAGATGAAAGTTCCAGTGAATGTGATCAACATAACACAGATCTCAGAGTACAGGATTGATGGTCACTCCTCAGTCTACACGGAGACAGGAGGCAAATTGCTTACTGATGAGGAAAAACAAGACCCACGAAACGCAGATTGCATACATTGGTGTTTGCCTGGAGTTCCAGATACATGGAATCAGATATTTTTGGCCATGTTATAGCAAAATTATAAATATCGACATGGGGAAATTGTCAATGTGATTTTTGTTTTATTTTCCTGAGGCATGAAGATGTCAAAGTCTATGAAGTTATATGTTCATATATCATACATTCATCTTTCTTGGGGCATTTGTTTGATGTAAATTTGCACATGCTTCAGAAAAAAATCTGCAAGCATTTTAGGTGTAACAGATTTTCAAATCTAAAACGAATAATTATCAGTATCAATCAATTACCTTTAGGATCTTCTTATTTGAGCTGTAATATTATCAATGTACATCATCAATGGCATTTTAATGTGTTAAGATTGTAGGTTAACTCTTCTTTCCTTAAAGGGTAATTTGTGGTATTCATGTTATTTTAAATAAGAAAAAATTAATCTTTTAATCCTTCAATTTTTAACACATTTATAACTCAGTCCTTCAACTATGACTCGCTACAAGTCAGTCTCTCAACTTTTGATTCACCTATATTTCGGTCCTTATTTTTTATTTTTTTTAAATTCTTATCAAATAAAGGGGATAAAAAAATGCTCATATATTATTCTAAAATACCCTTCTTTTGCTCATTGATGTGAGATATAAGCTAACATGAAAAAAAAATTAATAAAAGTTCAAGGATTAATTTGTAAGTGATTCAAAAGTTGAGGGACTCAATTACAAGTGAATTAAAAGTTGGAGGATTAAAAAATTAATTTTTCTTTTAAATAAAGCATGTAAAAGGGATTCAATAATAATAATCATACTTTTCAGAATTACAAATTCAATATTGAGTTAAAATTATATACTTAGATATCAATTATGACATTATTTTCAGTGCTTATAATGACTTAAAACAAAGAATACCTTAAAACTTGTAACAAAAAAAGAATACTTTTAACACTTGCAAATTTAATATTAATTTTTAGGTAGATTATACTTTGTTAAAAAATTGTACAAATGTTTCCTCTATTTTAAATTATAAACCAACTTTTCTTCAAATAGAAAATTATCTTCCACTAAAATTGAATTTTAAAATTTTCACTAAAACTGACATGACTCCTTAATCTCTATTTAAAACTTTGAAATTTGAAATATATAGTTTTCTATTAGTGTTTTTTATACCTTGATATGTCGATGATGTGCTTTACTTAACAAGTTGTTAATTTATAAAATATTTAAGATAATTCTTTATATTTCAATAGAAAAAATAAACCAAATTATACTCCATCTGTTTAAAAATATAAGGTATTTTTTAAAAGGTAGGATGTTAAAAAATATAAGACATTTTTAGTATTTAAAAATATAATAATTACTTTTTTTAAAGTATTTCTATTGAATGAATCACTTTATATTTATTTTAAAGTAAAATATCTTATTAAATAGGAATAAATATGAAAAGATAAAATTAGTTTGAAGACAAATAATTACTTTATTGAGGTAAGATTTGATTAAAAATATTTTATATTTTTTAATTAAGAAGGTATATTCTAATAAATATACTTTAAAATTAAATTAGACATTCGGATTTGGAAAATGAACACTTTTTTGGGAAAATTTCTAGGAGGGACTTTTGACCAAACATAATAAAAAAAATTTCATAATTTTTGAAATTTTACTGTAGGTATGGGGTACTAAATTAAAATTAAATTTGTGACAAAAATGATAAAATTATCCTCATTTAAATGAACAACATATTGTAGATAAGACGACTTGCTGAATATCATACTGTATGTTATTCATTTACTTATAAAATATTATTTATTTTTTCACTTTACTTGTTTATGACCCCTAAAATAAAATCAAATGAAAGTAGGATTATAAATAAGTAAAGTAGAATAACAAACAATATTTTGTAAGTAAATGAACAACATGCAATATGATAATAAATAAATCATCTTATCATTGAAACCAACACTTGAAATGAAATTAAATAAAACTAAGCCTATATAAACAAGTAATGTTGGGTAATCAATAATATTTTGTAAGTAAATGAATAACATACAACATTGAAACGAACAAGTCATCTTATTTATGTTATGTTATTCATTCAAATGAAAATAATTGTATTATTTTTGTCACAAATTTAATTTCAATTCAATACTCGATCCTTGCAATAAAATTTTAAAATTGGGCTCTTTTTTTAATATTTTTTATTAAGGGTTCCTCATGAAATTTTCCCAACTTTTTTCTCCCCTCTGCTTTTGGGCTGCAGACTTTTGGATGATTTCTCCTTGTGAGGTTTATCGGTCAAAGAATCAAAGCCAGCTGTCGGCTCCATAAACCCTACTTTCGCCCAATAAACTGCCATAAACCCTGATTCCTCAAGTTTGGTGGCTTCTTGCTGGCATAAGTCTGAGATACACTCGCTCTGATACCCATTGTCCGGTCGCCTTTTCTATTTCCATTTACGTCGAGGTTACCGGATGGACATTGACATGGGTGAAGAAGCTGAAGGAACGTCGAGGAAGATCCAAGCGCGCTTCGTTACTAAGTTAAAACCACCTCTCAAAGTCCCAACCTCTGTCATTTCCATCCCCGCCAACCTTACTAGATTTGGCCTCTCCTCCGTCATTAATAGTCTTCTTGAAGCCTCTGGTATCTTACCATTTGTATTCCTTTTTCACTCAAATGTTTCTAGCTGCTTAAACTTCCAGTTGAAGTATTTGTTACTTTTCAGTTTGCATCTTTCTCTTGCATATTTGAAATTTTAACGCCTCGTGTTTCCGGGTAACTTTTTAATTTAACTGTCCACTATGGGCAGGTGATCCTGATTACAAACCAGAACCTTTTGATATTTTGATCGATGGCGAGTTGGTTCGGATGTCACTTGAGGAGTTTTTGGTCGTCAAGGGAATTTCAGTGGTATGTATCTTACCATCCAACTTTTGTAGATTTTCTGTCTTGCCTTTGAAATGTACGGGTTTGATGAATATCCACATTTATCAAGTGACAATGGTGAAAGGAAGAACTGTCTAGAGGGAATTGGTCAGTTGTTAAATGACAGAAAGTATTATTATTAGTTGTGGTCAAATAAAGTCTTTCAAATTCTTCTCTTTTTTATTCTCTTCTTTTCTATTTTCTCTTATCCTTTATATATTAAGAGTTGCAGCACAAATAAATGATCTTTGATGAGCGATTCTTGAGATGACATTTTTGGTAATTATGGTTCTGTCGCCCATTGTTTTGGAGCCATATCTAATGTTTGTCGATGATGAAATGCAGGAAAAGATATTGGAAATTGAATACACAAAGGTAGTGGCCCCACGTAAGGAGGAAGATCCTTCTTTGCATGATGATTGGGTTAGTGCAGTTGATGGTTCTTCGTCTAGGTAAGCTTATTGAATTTCTATGTGGTTCGAACGTCATGATATAACTATGTAATGGTCCAAGTATGGGTTTCTATTAATGTTAGCTATACAAATATTGGTTAAGAAGGTTATGGCTGGGCTAGTCTGGATGAATTAAGTTGACCTGGACAGCTTGGTTGGCTTCGTTTAATTAGAAATTTACAATTTTGAGATGATCATAGTCAATGATGTTAAGATTGAGAAATGACAAAGTATAATAGTTTTGCGTGTGTGTGTGTGAGAGAGAGAGAGTGTATTATCATCATCTAATGCTCATTTGATGAGCAAATTGTATGAGGTGTTTCAGTTGTGAAGTATGGGGATGATCATAGGAGATAGCCTTATCCTTCTATTGGATGGACCATTACATGTTTTGCTTTTGGTAGAATGAATGGATGTAAATGTAGAGCCAGTTTTTTGGACAGTTGATCTTGTTCAATGGATAAAATATCAAATTGTTTAGTTGTTCAAGCTCCACAGTCCTTCACTAAGAACAGATAACAGTTATGCTGTTATTGCTGCAGGTTTTTCTTGACAGGATGTTATGATGGTTTAGGGAGGTAATATTTATAGATGATTCGTTTGTTATCTTAGAATTTGTCATTTAGTGGCTTCTTTAAGATTTTATGTTATATTTCTCATTTGCATAAAGAATTTTTCTAATGTGATGAAATTTTTTCTCAGGGTTTGGAAAGGTGCTGGATTATGTACACATATATTGGAGGGGCACACTGCTGCTATTACTTCTGTTAGCATTGTTGATCACAAAGGTATGAAGACAGGGGTTATCTCTTACCCTTACATGCCAATATTTCTTGCTTCTGCTAGCATCATTTCAGTTTTTTTTGGGGTCGAAAGGTGTTAATATTTTAGTAGTGTTAGAATTTTAATGTAAAGAAAGAATTTCAAGGATGAAGATTAAAACGGCCTCCTAAAGAGGAGAAAACAAAGGAAGAGAAAATGAAAAATGAAAAAGCACTTGAAGTTAAGCGAATATCAGTGGTTTTCAATCCTTTGGAGCAAGTTGTCTGGTCTGGTCTAGTAAATGATTAATCTGTGGCAAGTGGCAACTGTTTTTTCTCTTCGCCCCTTTTATTTGTAAGGTGCAGATGTTGATGGCTATTTATGAAATTAAGACTTCCATTTCAAACTTGTAGTTTTAATCTACATGAACTTATCTACTATTATATCTGATTTGTAATTTTATAAGTGACAACTTGATTGCATATATCTGAAGCTGCGGAATGCAGGTACCTTTGTTTATAGTAGGAAAACCTGTTGCTTGGGTGGGTGGGTGTTTGCCTATTATTAACATATGTACTGTATTTAGGTACAGGAACTTGCACCTTGGCAACTGCTTCAAATGATCGAACATTAAGGCTATGGAAGGTAACTAAAAAAGTTTATAAAGGTCCAAATTTTTATCTTGAGAATTGACCTGACTATATTATATTTTTTACTTTGTTCAAAAGCTCAATCTAGATGAGGCCAATAAACATCCTGTGAGGATTGGTGCTTTCAAAATCTTGTGTGGTCATAAAGATACTGTGAAGAGTGTTGCAGCACAAACTTCTGGAGAAATGGTTCTTTTCTAATTTTTGTTAATTTTCCATCTGTCTCTTGAGTTTCATAGATAACTTTTATAAGGATGCAAAATTTAGATTTCTAATGTAAGACATGTTGCTTCTGTTATCACATATATTTAGATTTGTTCTGGTTCTTGGGATTCCACCATCAAGTTGTGGCAAACTCACTTTGACGCTGAAGGTGATGTGTCTATTAAGAAGAGAAAAGTTAAAGATGAAGTTGAGGAGTCTCAGTTAGAGGTCAGTATGTCACTGAGTTCATAAATGTAGAAAGGAAAATATAGTTTTCATTGATTTTCGAAAATATAGAAACAAAAAGTGCAATTTCTACTGACTTGGTATTGCTTGGTTAATTTTGTACTCTAATTACTTTTATGCTTTTTTTTTTTTACTTTTTGGTCTAAGGGGGGCTGGTGGAGTGGATGTTTGTAAAGCTATCATCAGAAGAGTTAAATGACCTCACTTTGTTTAATGCTAAATTTTTTTTTTTGGGACATTATACTTGTAGAAATGTGAATTCAATAAACCTTATAGTGTATGTAACTGTGTATTTCCTTCATTTGAATATTGTTTCCCATTTATTGTATAATTTTGAGGTTTTATTTGTTGCTCAATCAATTTGTTAGTAATACCCTTGCATTTTTAGGGGGAGGCTGTATCTACACTTGCTGGCCACACCCAGCATGTTTCTTCTGTGGTTTGGCCACAGCGAGACACAATCTATTCTGCATCATGGGATCATTCTGTTAGGAAATGGGATGTCGAGACTGGGAAAGACTCATTAAATATAGTGAGTATGCCGTTTTGTTAAGTTTGACTCTTGTCTTTATAGCAAGCTTCATAACCTAATTCCTGGTAGTCTTAATGTGATAATGTTACTTGATAATGACTAATTTTTAATTTCATTGGGTCCTCTTGGTTTTGGGCACATTCATTTCTTTTAAAATTTCGATACTTTTTCAAAGTCACTTAACCCTCCACTTGGAATGGGCAGAAAATTAAGGAGAAGAGAAAATTGGAAGAGAGAAGTAGAAGAAAAAACACTTTTCCTTTAGTTCTCCCCCTCTCTAGGGGGAAATTATGGGGAAACACGGGTGAGAAATGTCTTTTTCCTCTTGTTTTCTCCTCTAGCTTTCTCTCCTTCCTATTTTCTTCCCATTCCAAACAAAGCCTAAAGTTCTACCGTGAAACCCAGATTGCTAATATAATCTTGATCCATTATAATGGATATTTTATTATTTATTCGTTTTATTTCATTATAAAATTTATTTTTGAAAAATTATTGTATTTGACAGTGTCTCAAAACATTATGATATTGATATTCATTTTATAAATTTTAATCACTACATCTTCAACTCTAGTTCTGTGGAAAGGCTCTCAACTGTCTCGATATTGGTGGAGAAGGATCTGCTTTGATAACTGCTGGTGCATCTGATCCTGTTCTTAGGATTTGGGACCCTCGTAAGCCAGGTCTATTAATAAGTCTGATCTTTGTCTTTTTACTCCAACCATCAAGTGAATGTGTTAATACCTAAGTTGACAGTTTTTCTTCTTCTGTAGGCACTTCTGCTCCAATTTTTCAATTTGCTTCTCATACTTCTTGGATTTCAGCTTGCAAATGGCATGATAATTCTTGGTTTCATTTACTTTCTGCATCTTATGATGGGAAAGTTATGTTGTGGGATTTGAGAACTGCGGTAATATATCATTTTACTGAGTGGTTTTTAAGTTTTGTCGTTAGCTCTTGGAAGTTATTGCGTGCACGGTGCGCCCGCTAGACTTACCTTAACCTCTTGATGTTTGTCTATTTTCTCCTTGCAGTGGCCACTTTCTATTATTGAATCACATGGTGACAAGGTATACAAATATCATCATTTCTTTCCTTCTGTTTCCCCCTGAGATGGGTCAAAGGTGTGATAAAATTACTGTTTATTTGACCAAGGTGCTATGTGCTGATTGGTGGAAAAGTGAGAGTGTTATCAGCGGGGGAGCAGACTCAAAAGTCTGCATTTCTTCTGAAATTTCAGTACAATAATCCAATGGTTTTGGGTAAGCTATTTTACATATTAATGTTATGTAACTGAAAAGTGAAGAATATTTTATGTACCCGATGATTGGTAGGGCGGCAAATATTTTATCCGGCAAGTCAACAGTGGATCCAATTTGGAGTGGATTCATTAAAAGGTCGAAATTTTGATATATGGATTTAGGGGCGAAAATGCTACACACTCTTAAACGGTCCTGTGCTTGTATGATTCATATTTTCAGAATAATGTGTGGAAGGATTTCAACTTGAGCAACGTTGGACTGTACGAGGAACAGGACGACGAATTTTTGCGGGGACAAATAGTTCTTAGGCACATTAATACTGTTATATTGCGAGTTTGGATCAAAGGATGTAAGCTTATTTTTCCGAGGACCAATTGTAAAAAATTATTTTTTATAATTGTTTAATTTGCTTGTAAAATTTGTTAATTTATCGAGGGTTAATGTTAGAGCGATAAATAATTACGGAAAAGAATAAATAAAGGACAAGGCATCTATTGAATAACTTCACAAGAGCAAAATGTTACATGGCAACTATTTTTTCTTATCTTACTATTCCTTAAATCTTTATTGTTGGGTTTTTCAATAATGGCCAGGATATAATTTTCTTAAAAAAAATTAAAACGTGACAGTTGTGATTTTTGCACTATAATGGTGCATGCTTGCTAAGTTTTATTAGAGGATTACGTCTAGTCCTATTTTGAATTAGATATTTTGGGATTAAAGATGTAAATGTGTAGTTTTTTAAAAAAGAAAAAGAAAAGGGTGACAAGCACTGGCGGAGCTACGTATCTCCTAGAGTGGGCAGATGCACCGCCTGAGATTTTGCAAATTAAAGTGCTTATTATTAGTTTTAGATCATGCCCTTCCTGATGTTCTAATTTTGCACCCTCTACTGTCTATATGTTTTCAGCTTTGTTCGAGAGGGAAAGGAAAAAGAGAGGAGAGGGTGATTGACATGAGATTGAGGAGATGAGGATATTTGGCAAACATAGTAGTGAAGAGAATGTTTTTTAATATTTTATTTGTGACACTTGTAAAACTTTATTTTTATATTATTTTTTGTTCAACTACTATCTTCAATTTGTGTTTCTTTAACAATTTAATTAATTAAAGATATTCATTTTAAAATATGATTTACATTAAGGTGAAACTGTATTAGAGTTTGAAAGAGTAATGATCTCCATTTAAACAATATAAATCAAATTTTATAACATGGAATTAAAATAAATTTTAAAAAATTATTGTCAAGCTCTAGTTATAAGAGGTGTAATTTATATATAATTAAAAATAATTTTGACAAAAAAATTAATTAATTATTATTTAAATAATATCTTGCCCTCTCTCACTGAAAGTACTAACTCCGCCATCGGTGACAAGTGTATAATTTTTGAGTTTAGGGATATACTTGTTATAATTTAATGAGGGAATTGTGTGTTTGTCTTACCAGATTAGACAATTAGACATTATGAAGGCAAAAGCAAATCAATCATGAGAATTTTTACTCACACATACAAATATAGTGACTTTATACAATAGTCTTTAAAATGAATGACCTTAACCTTGCTATATTTTAATGATTTCTCGAAATTCCTCACACAAAATTGATTGTAAATTGAATTGAATGAGACTCGAATGTAAAAAAAAACTGCAATTGTGTAAACAAACATAAATATAAAAAATAGTACAAGAGAAAACATTAAAAAAGAGGGCCATACTTTTTCATTTATTTAACACACGCATACATATTATAATAGGAAAAATATGTCATAAACAATTATAGGTTTAATGTATTTCTTTTTTTTAACACATCCTTAATCGTATATATCAAGTAAGTAAATAAAAATTACATAATTGTTCAATTATTTAAACTAGATCAATCTTTAAAAGACATAAAATAATAAATTTAATATAAAAACTTAAAAAGTTATTTATTTGGAATTACGAACACCTTCATCAAATAATATTCAAAGCATTGATATCATTTTCGAATGATTTTAATAATTTAAATTAATTATTTAAATCAAAGAATAAATTTTAAAATTAAAATTTAATATATAAATTTTTATATTTGAATTATATCATACACACAGACCCCTTTTTTTTCCCAAAGGCTTCACACACTGGCCCATAGAGATTGCCCACCGGAGTTGGGCTCATCTTTCATGACAAATCTTATTTTGGGCTTCGTAAACCCTATTCTCGCCCAATAAAATGTGATAAACCCTTGACTCCTCGAATGTATTCCGTATTCGATGCGCCCTGTTTGCGGAAACTTCAGCTTTTGTTCCGCGTCGTGTATAACGAAGCTTGAGGTGCCTATCTCTGTGCTAACCATTTTGGATCGTTCGTTATATTTCCTTATACGTCTTCGTCGCTGCTCAGTTTTAACGGCATTTTCGTGCAGGTTTCACTCTTGATAAGGCTTGGATTCATCCTCGATTTATGATTTGATCCCAGTGAATGAATGAAATGCTTCCTTATATTTCCATTAGATTTCTATTTATATTGTATAGAGTAAAATTGGAATCTTGATATGTTTCTGCTATTTTTTCAATATGGGGATTAATGTTTTGCTGGCCCTATCCTTCATTCTGATTTTAACGCAGCTGCAGTGTAAGCTGGGTTAAAAATGGCAGGTGGAGGGAATTTTATGCACAGAGTAATCTCCTACGTGGTAAATGAATTGGTCGTGAACGGTCTTGCCAATAGGTATCTTAACCCTTTTTGTTTATTCTAACTTCAATTCATTCTTTTCAAACTTTTTTTTTTGGTTGGTGTAGCGTGTTTTTATTTAATTTCAAGCTTCTTTCTCTGGCCACCGAGAAAATTATTTCCCGGGCGGCTCGTTTAATTGAAGCAAGATTGTGTCAAATTCCTGATCATAGTTTCCACTTTCCAGGGCAACATGATTGCACTGGATATTTAGGAGTTTGAGACATTCTGCTATAAGCGCAATCTTAAAATACTTGCTATCTAAAGGAAATGAAATTGTGTTGGTTAGCTCCTCTAAAAGATAAATTTTAGATGATTTGTGTATGGGTACTAGTTATAAAGTTTGATAGAGTGCAACATGCGTGTTTGACAGTTTGGGACTTCTACATCTTTGGAATCCCGTGTTAGGCGGGTCTCATGTGCTTGTGGTTTCTTTGGTAATTTTAATTTCTAATTTGTTGATAATGATGTATTATTTAACAAAGGCCGTGAAAGGACTTCCATCATTGTTACTGAAGCATGTGCCGGATTTTATTAGTTACTGCCTATGATGACTCTCGTAGGCTTGCAATGATTGCAGAGATGAATGTAAGAATTAATACCCAACGGACTGGGGCTCTACGTACCTTGTTTCTATGACAATGTATAATATCATCTATTCAGTGTGTGCTTAATACTTAATTTTGGATGAGATCTCAAACTAAACTACACATCTGAAATTTACTGGTCATTCTTAGTATAAATGTAAGTTTTCTAGCTACTGTGTCTGGATGAATTTATTTCCTTAATATTTGAGCCATTAGTAGTTTTTGGTAATAATTCTATTACCAATTGCCGATGATGTCTCCATATTCGTAGGCTTGTAATGATCGCTGAGATGACGTCAAATCGTCATTCAAAGGACTGAGGCTTTACTTACTTTGTGATTATGTGATTTTGTTGATCCTTTTCTTCATCCATTGACTGTGTATTGGGTGCCTTCTTTTTTCTAGCTGTTGCCTATCCCTGGTAATTATTTTACTGCCATTTGCCTGTGATGTCTCCATATTCGTAGGCTTGTAATGATCATTGAGATGAAATTGAATTATCATCCAAAGGACTGAGGCTTCCCCTCCCCCCTCCCAAAAAAACAGAAAAGAAAAGAAAAGAAAAGAAAATCCCCGCTGCTTATTTTGTTGTTGTTTAACAGATTCATTTTTTCTTCTATTTACCATGAACTCAGTGATGTTATTTATGCCAATACAATGACCAGTAAGAAACAAAGCAGACCTAGGAAATGAGGCTAGATAAAATCGGGGTACTTCAGAACCTGAAATGAGATTTTGTATTTGTTCTTACCTTGATCTGAATTAAAAAACGAGCAGTACTGGTTCTGGCTGTCTGGGTTCACTGATGGTCCAAACTTTAGTTACTTCAATTTTGCAATGAATTAGTTTTTACAATTTAAATTTCTTAGATGTTTTATGTCCCTACTGATAATATTTTCTTGTGGTCTAACAGCCCCACATTCCAGAGGCTTGCAGTGAGAACATCTAAGAGAATCGAAGACATTTCAAATAAAGGTAGTATTATCATAGTGATAAAAATGTGGCATTTTGCTAATCAAAAGTCAGTCTGACCTAAGTGTTTATGTATTCCTGGCAGCTACGCAAAAGAAGCAAGAGCTAGCGGAGCAGATCAAGGACATATCAAAAAAATATGGAGGTTGTGTATAGTCATTAAATTTTAATCTACTACCTTCAATGAGATGGCCACCGACTTTTTGTCTTGATTGCAAATTAGCTCTGGATTTCAGTAAATTTGTAGTGCACTCTTAGTTGTAGGTGGTGCGCTTATACCCTTCAGGTTTTATAGAAGCAAAGCTGTCCAAAATTTAACAGTCCATGTGCTACTATTGCTGTGTTCTAAAAATAAAAAAGCCTTCGATGCATTGTGATTAAGATTTTTGTTGGACTGTAATGTTTTAGACAATTTTGCATTTTGTTACCCGTGAAAGTTCAATTGCATCTTTACAGAAACACATCACTATAGAAATTTAGCTCAAATTTTAATATGTCTTTTTCCCCCAAACTACTTCCAGAATGAGAACCAATGGATTTGCTATCTCCTGCATTGGGAAGACAATAGAGTAGGGTCCTGATGATCTCTGCGGAGGAGGTGGACGAAGTCTTGTGGACGTGCCAAGGAGTTCTTATGTTAGTTTAGTCTATCACACTAGTTCAAGCAAAGGTTCAGTGCCTGCTTTCTTCCAAGCTTTACTTTTCTGCAGGGCTGAGTACTAACAAAAATTGGTTGGACTTTATTATATTTTTTTTTTTTTTGGTACGCCCAAATATTTGTGAGTCTAATCTAATAGTTGGTTTCGGCTTTTACAATTTATAGCATCTCGAGGAACCAAGTGGCTGGCCAATAGAGTGTAAGTCTGCTAAAGGTGTATAACGTTTTAACTTCTGGATGGTCATCTTGTATTTTATCAACTGAAATAACTCAATTATGGTGCTGGTGAATCACCTATATTCCAATAGGGAGGTGGTGGAGGATGAAAAGTTGTGCTTTTTCATGAACTGCAGTGTATAATCTTTTTGATTAGTGGATGGTGGAAGAAGAGAAGAAATAGCGTGAGAAGAAGAAACGTACTTGCCACGTGGATCTGCTTTTTTTTTTAATTTTAAAAAATTCCACATGGTAGTGATAGTCAAAATAATAGTTAACACTGACAGCAAGGCATTTTTGAACCCTTTAAAAAAAATTTCGGGGTAAGTTTATTGAAAAAAAGGATATCAAACACTCCTTGCAAAAAAGTTCTAAGACATTTTTGCTTATTAACCTTGAAAATGTTAATGGTTACGGGTACTCTCTAATGATCTTTGGTTATGGTCAATGCTCATTGCTAGATGCAAAATTAGTAATCTGATTATGGTCATTTCTCTTATTGCTACCCTTCTATATTGAAATTTGAAACATTGAATGCTTGTTCAATGTTTCTCAGCTTGAAGTCAGTATTGGCTGAACCAAATTGATTTCCATTTTGAAGATGAACTATTTGAGATTGATATGTTGTTGTCTGATTAGCCTAGTGGACAACACAAATTTATTTGTGACGAGAAAGTTTTATTTTTATTTTACCCAAATTTCAGTTTCACAACATTTAATTTGGCAAAGGTATTTTCTTGCACACTAAAAACTCAACATGCACATTATAGAGATGACACGAGGTGTCGGAAAAAAATTGATTGTAGGGATGGAGTGAAATTGAATTGATTGACAATTGATTTTAATTGCTACGATGTTTGCTTTTTTTATTTTTTATTTTTTTATTTTTTTCTCAGAAATTAAAGTGCTGTGATGTTTACTTATTACTATACAAATAGTTTGAGCATGTTTTTTATAGTTTAAATTAGAACCGACAATTCAGAGTAAGTCTACAAAATTTTAGGGTCGTGTTAGGGAGTTCAAAAAAATTTATTTACTCTGAATTTATTTAACCACTCAAAGAAATCTTGGCCAAACTTCAACTAGAATATGCTTAACGAGAAATCCAAATTTTTTTATTAATAAAAAAAAATCTCATTTTCAAAATTCATGCCCTCCTAAAAAACGAGTTTAAACCGTTAACCTGCCAAGCTGAACCTTAATTGTGGACTCTAGTATCTATCCAATCATGCCTTACAAATAGCCGTGGGAATCGATGTAACAGAAACTGGAAAAAGTTAACAATTTTGGGAAATAAAAATTCCACATTTAAAACTAATAAGAAACATAAAATGCACATAAGCCAGTAATAATCCTCACCAGCCAAGCCATACTAGTTTAGAGACATGAAAAAGCTTAAGCAAACACGATACAAAGTTAACAACAACAAATATAATAATTTGGATGAGCTCGCTAGCCGAAGAAGATGCTCCTCCGAGCTGACTCAACCCAATTCTCGATCTTTTCATGAACCGCAACGTAAATTAACAGAAACATCTGTTGATAACAACTAACTGGACGCCATCAATGCGAATATCATCATAAAAAGCCAAAAGACCACGGTGATGAAGGAAATGGGGAAGTTTTAAATGACGGCCAAAGCTAAAACTGAAACCGAACTTACGAACAGAACTGCTATGAAGGTCAGGATGGGAAGATGGCGAGTGCTGCGAGGAGGTAGATGAACAAGAACTGTCCTGGTCACCAGCATTAGATAGTAAAGAACAATGATCAAGGCCAGAAACATCTTGAGTTTATCGTGCTGGCTTTTGAACAAAGGGTTCGCTTTCGCTCCTGTGTCAGTTGTGTTATAGGCCGCAAGTAAAGCCATTAACAGCGCTGAGAATTTATCCAAGATCTCTCGCAATTCCTTGAAGAGTTTGACCACTTGCTCCCTGTGCGTATTCTTTGAGTAAGTCTTTAGAAATTTCAGATAGAAAGGATCTAACACTCCACATTCGGTTTAACACAAGTAAAAACAGAGCACTTTCATTTTATGCCTATCGGTGAGAGAAGAGAGCATTAAAAGCAGAGCACGAAGAAATCAACCGTGGAAATGTTGTGTATGATCACTTATCCACTTATCCTTGCAAGCCAAGTTATTATCATGAATAAAAACACAATTTCAGCCTTTCAGGTGCAATCTCCAAAAGTAAAAAACAGAGAAAATTTTGTGAGAGAAGAAGTGTTAAAAAGCAGAGGAAGATGAAAAGCGAAGTATATACAAGGTTTATTCAATTTCCTTGTTCAAGACAAGAGAAAGAACAAGATGAAGCTTTTGGCATGGTTTTGTAAACGCAGAACAATACCTCATTGACAAGGTCTAGCTTCGTCTCTTCCAGGTGCTTCTTGACAAGTGCGTTGGAGAGCTCTGTTTCTTGATGCCATATTATAAAGGACGTGGGGGGAGAGAGAGAGAAGAGAGAGCAATAGTCAAGGACTCGCGTTGTTAAAGTGAAATGAAATGAAGTGCTTTGCGTTTTGGTTAGGGGTGGATGCTATAGAGAAGTTGGGAGACGTATTAAACGTTTTATACGCATTCCCGCAAGTTTACTACGCCAATATGAAACGCTTTCCCCGTCATCCCACTCTTTAGAGCATCACGTGCTTGTAATTTATAGGAACAGCCGTAGGATCCCACCTGCACGTGACACGTAAACTTGGCCAGGAAATCAAAATTTAATATATACTTTGTAATTTATTTAAATTTAAGTTAATTTTTAAAAAATAAATTTGGTCTTCTTTGTAGATTGAAAAATAAAGTTAGTCTTTGCAATATTATAATTCCGTGTCTTTTGCTCAACCCGCCAACTAGCAAAAACATGATGAGTTAGGTTGGAGAAAACAAATTCAATTAAATATGAGGCAGGTTTGGCCCATCCTATATAATTTGAAGCCATAGTGAACTAACTCACAGGTTGACAAGTTAAACAAATGAAATTAAATTTAAAATAAAACATTCAGAGTAAGCATACATATAATTGCAGTCTAAGTACTTAGCACTTCTACATTTATTTAATTCAAATTTAAATTATGGCAGAAAACAATAAAAATATACCACTCATATATTTAAGTTGTGATAAAATAATCTGAATTTGATAAAGATAAAATTGAATAAATATTTTATTATACTTTACTTCATTTATATAATAGCTTATTTAAATTATCTTGTTCATAAAATAGTACTATCCAAGCGAGCAAATAAAAAAAAATTTAGTTATCATTTTTATTTAAAAAATTAAACATATTTATGAAATGCTAAATTTATATTTTATTACTATCTTAATTTGAACATAAAAGAAAAAAAAAACCTGTACAAATATCAAAACATTTAGGTGGCATGAATGAATGTATCATGAATAATAATCTAATAGTTAAAGTTTAAATTATCATGATTTCTTTTTTTTAAAAAAAAAAGAAGAGTTAATATTTTAAACTAGGGCCAATTTTGTAGCCAAAATGCCAAACAGGAAGAGAAAGCATTCCTATTAATTCATATATATAATACTGATCAGTCATGTAAAAGGCTAAAGAACAATCATAAAATTAAATTAGTTTATAATTTTGTAGATTTAAGCATGGCTTGATTAGGCTTCTATTGTTATTTGGATAATTATCTTTTAATAGAAATGTATGATTTTTGTTTACCATAAAAAATAATAAAGAGGTAGATTTAATTTTAAAATTTTAAAAAATTATTATATATATATATATATTTCTTTTTCTTTTATTGGCAAGTACCATGCAAGATGTGTATGCCAACCTGCCCACCAAACCTGCAACTTGCTACAGGCTAACCTACGAGTCATGAGTTGACCTATCAACTCTAAATTTTATTGCGAGCAGTCAAATCCTCAGCAAACTCATCTTTGTAAGAGAATTTTGTCCAAATTGTCAAGTGGAGTTGATAGACCCTTGTGAGTTTCCCAGCTATATAACACGACTTCATCATGCATGCATGAAACATATGAACAAAAATAAGAATCAAAATCTCAGAGCTTCGCCTCGCTTTCAAAAGGTAATGATATATGTCTGTGTCTCGGGTTTGAAGCAGTACAAGGCATCATTAGCTCGATGCATAAATTACTGCCGGTCCTAATTTCAACTCTACCAAAATCAATACAAGGAATCAATTGGCCAAGCAAGGCCACATTGACTCGTAGCTATACATTTTGCTTGAAGTGCAAAGATCAAGCTGCGGTGAATCATGAATACTGTTATCCATCTGGTACTTGAACTCAACTTAGTGCTGCAACTGCCTCAGCATTAGCTTGTGGCCGTGTGACATGCCCTCCGTTAGACAGGGCTCTCAGAAGTATAGCATCTCCTCGATGCTAGATGAACATGTTAAATTCACTATTGTACCTGAACAAGATGGGGCATAATCAAATATGAAGCGCATGAAACCTTGCAGCATGCAAGAATGGCGTTATTTGGGGTGAGTACTAACTAGACTCTTAGAAGCAAAGCCTAAGCTTTTCCACTGTGCACATCACTATGTTGAGCACCCAATGTGAACCCTTGAATTGAGTGTGCAAGGCCTGAAATGAAAATAAGGAAATAGAACCTGTTTACTTGATTTTTCCAAGTACTGCTAGCACGTGCCTGCTGTCACATCATTTGTCTACTTCTTCAGGGATAATCGCTTTACCCAAATAAACCTGTTGCATCTCCTCTCTCCAAATCTGCAAACACAGCAATTTCATTTCCATTTGCTTTAGAAATACACAATGCGCTTGTAATTTTGGATGGCTAAGCTTATTGAAAAATTTAAAGCAAGCAATCGCAATCCTATGAACTGGTGTGAAATATCGTATAAAAAGCTCAAGCAGTGAAGCTTATGACTTATTGAAGGCCAGCTATAATCTCATTTTGTTTAGACACGTAATTCAACCTTACTGGGAAAATATAAAGCCTTGCAATTTTTGCATAATCATTATATGAAATTTAGCACCATGGAAGCTGTTATGTAGTAATTTAACATACCGTATCTCGGAATTCCAATCGTATGTGTGGAACATTTGTTTTTTGAATGTCATTTCCACTTGGCCCTCTCTTGTAATACTCTTTACCAATCCAATGAGACTGAAACAGAGAAATCATAAGTTGAAAAAAGCAGATTAAAACGCATTCTGCACTTCTATGAAATTTCCGTTGCCCCCATCTGTTACTTTTTTACATCAGTTAATTCCACTGGGCAGCTATTTTAATTCACTCTAGAGAGCATAAGCCAGTTCTACATGTCAATTTTCTAATTAACAATAACGTCTTCTAACAGAAACAACAAATACCAATTACTTACTCAACCCCCTCCCTTAAAAAAAGAGTCAGCTAATTCTACAGCTATCAACTTCTCAGGTCACGACCCTGTATTCTATTATACAATTAAATGAATATATTATAGGATGCAGGAAATTGTTGGTTCTTTTTTTTTTTTTTTGGGCATTATGCCATCATCCATGTATCGGATAAAAACTTACCATTTCAAAATTCAAGTTAGAAAATTTGTAGCATGGATTGAATGTCAAATTAATAGGAACTGATAGCAATGGTGCATGTTGGGCAATGCCCATCTCAGAAAACTTTTTGCCAACATGTAGAAACATCACCTTTGGAGTCATGTACACATCATGAGTCATAACAACAACACATAAGAACGCACCGCCTAAGAATGTTCCAAAGAAAATTTAACATGGATAGAACAAGTTCATTGGACGAAGAAAATTTCTAAGCTTTATAGCTTCTACCATACGTGCTAATGATCTTACGGCAAAGTGTACCTTTAAGGCACGTGAGAAACCTGATTAATAAACTGCATTAAAAGTGTACCTTTAAGGCAAAGCGTGCTGAAATGTAAAAATCCCATGGAATTCCAGAAACAAAAGTCTATGCCTTTCCATAACGTCTCCATGAATTCTAATCACTTTCTCACTAATTACATAACTCCTCATGAATTCTCATAACCTTCATAAATTGCATAACCCATTGTGTAACCCCTATTTAGTTTTAATGTTATTGTTTGAAATTTGGCCCCTAGGAATTAGTGTAAATAAGGCCTCACTCCTTGTATTTCATCATACAAGAATTGAATTTAAGTAATTCCTAAAGCGAGAGTTTTCTCTCTAGTTTCTGAGCCACGTACCTTTTAAGTCAATTTCAATGTTTACATATAGACAATTTCAATGTTTACATCCAGTCAATTTCAATGTTTCAAAAGGTGAAGTCAGGATTAAAAGTGTACCTTTAAGGCATGTGAGAAACCTGATTGATAAACTGAATTACGGGCAATCTCACATAAATCACATGAGCTCAATTTCCACACCTGTGCCCAAATTGACTCATTGATGTAAGTATGGTAACATTTTGGGCCATATACATGCACACACAATCATAAAGATATATATATATATATATATTATAGAGAGAGAGAGAGAGAGAGAGAGAGAGATCTCACAGAGGCAGCTATGCTATATTCTTCAACCAATGGTTCTTTTGTCAAGTGAATTTGGAGGGGATCATCAGTAGAAAGTGAAACATTCAGACCACGCAAGAAGAACGTTGGCAAAGGATTCCGATGGTAGTCTAAAAACAGGGAGTTATTGCTCAGAGGAGACATTGCTAGCCCAATCTGATTACAAATATTCCACCACAGACAATTAATTACTGCATATAACCCAATTAAGTAATCAGTTAATAATGGGCACACCTGAGCTAGATAATACAAATATTGAAGCACAGGAGATTTCCTCAAATTGATTCCATGTGCAATGTTATGGGCAGTAAGAAAGGTTGCAGCGAGGTGGTCAATATCACCAGCCTGAATGCAGAAGGATACATCAGGTAGCCATACAACAATGAACCAAACAAAAAATATGCCCCAATAATTACCTCTCCAGAGTGTGGACGGAATTTGATTGTAGTCATTCCCTTTGATTCACGAAGCTGAGAAATATGTATATTAGGTCAACATTTGGTGTGTCAAACCAAAGTCAAGGAGATGCAGATAGTTGTTAAGTTATATGCAGAGACATCTTAGAATAAGCATTTAAAGGGGGTCTGTGGTCACTCGATGAAAGAATAAAGCAACATCACAAAGGGCAGAACTCCATTACCCACATCAATGATAAATCAACTTGTGTCATATAATATCAGAAATTTGGAAGGGGCCTGCACTTTGATGATTTTCTTTCTTTTTCCCCTCATTAGCTTCAGTTGTCTTTCCCTAAGGGAGGGGTAGTGAATAGCTAAGCACCTAGATTTTGGTAAGAAAGTATAAAATTCTATTAGGAAAAATGGCACACCTTGTTTAGGGTGTAAAGATTTGCATAGCAATAATACACATAATATGAATATGCTGGATTAAAAACATTGATCCATTGAGCAGGCGTAGGCATGTGTTTTGTTGGCCGCCTTTCAGGCTTGCTTTCATCGTCCACCAAATCCAATCCAACAACCTGAAAATGTCCCCAAAAACAGTAAACAGAAAGATAATGAGATACCACATAAGAGATATAAACAACCAAATATGCATGATACAAATAATTCATCAAAGCACTATCTCAGAAATAAAATATTTTATTAATGTCCCTTGTGGCCTCTGCAAAATGCCACCGATACAGAATAAAGTTTAGGGGGCATGTTAACATGTCTTATCCCACTAGGTGAGGTCGGTTTAGGAGGCATGTTGAGTTTAAAAAAATTGGAAAAAAAATATTTGAGCATAATACATTTGCTGGCATTATTGAATCATACATGTTTATGTCTGGGGATCTGTCAGAACTCAAACGTATCAAGCTGCAAAGTCTAATTGTGCTGATCCATACTTAAAGTCATATGGCCCCAAGGGGGAAAAAATCATAGTTGACGTCATTTAAGCACGTTATTTGGATGTTTCTTTCTGTCAGAGTCCAGATATTATATCTAATTCAATCATCACAGAAAAGGTAGAGTAAAAAATAAACTATAAATGACTCATTTGGTTGTTTCTCAAGTGTATCATAGAACACAGACCCAACACTATTGGCAGCTAATTCTAGACCAAAACTAATAACAAAATGCAATTGAAACAGTAGCAAAAACTACACCTGTTTTAAGAAAACATGTAACTGAGGGTGTGAATCGGGATCCACAGTAACCTCAAAAAGTGGAATAAATATATTGTCAAGAATATTCTGGAATGAGGTTACAATTCCCATCTCTTTATACACATTGTACAACCTTGGAAGCTGCAAAACAAATATTTGAAGATAATAAGCATCAATCGTCAGATTACAATCTCTTACAGCACATGTAGTCAAAATTTAAAAATCTCCAAAACCATTACCCACCACTCCTAAGAGTGACATTGAGGAAATTAGGAAAAAGGATAAATGTTAACCCTCAATGGTTAACTAAATAGAATGCACTCTACACCATTAAATTACATGATATGAAGCCAAAACTCTGACATTGATATGGTTAACAGAGTAATTATTCATACACAAATTACTTGAAAATTTTTTTTAGGGAAAAAAAAATCTAAAATACCTGAATTAACCAGACCACATTTTCACTGTATAACTCATTGTTTACTATCCAACTAGCTAGTTGGTCCCACTCGCTTTGCTTCCTGCCATATATTGATATTCTATATTCAGCCATCTGTTAATAAATTAGATACCGAAAGACGTGTTAATTAACATTTTGTGCCAATATCAGAGGATAACAAGCATACAAAAGGCACAAGCAAGAGATTAGAAATTCTTATAAATAAATGCATAGTAAACAACAGATTCTATTATTCTTCTGTAGTGAAAACAATCAAAGAATGCCCGTCTGAAAATTTATTTTTTTTCAGAATCAAAAAGTTTTGGAAGCATGAACAATGGTCGGTTAGAATTGTGATCCACCCAAGAATCAAAACCTTTCAAACCAGTGGAAAACATCATAGAATGAGAATCAGATCAGGAAACTAGTCCAGGCTATTTGTTGGCTAGGGCTTGAAATAACAATCTAGAATGCATTTAAAAAATACAAATAAAATATACATGGACTCGAGAAAGCACCTGATATTTACTTGCAGCTAGGTCAGAAAACACTTGCTTTGTCAGCTCAGCAAGAAAACGACCTGTTTGATGAAAGAAAACAGTATAGGCATATGTAAGTAAAAGATTACTCTGCTGAAAACGAATCATGTCAGAAGTCTCCCAGGGTCCCATCGCTTTGACAAGCCACTCATTTTTAAGTCTCTTTCTTTAATGCTTCTTCCATTAAATCATCAAACCACAAGCGGCAGCTGACATTGAAAGGGAAAATTTTCTAGAATTTTAAATTACACCAAGGTTTTCGCAAATATAAAATGTAAGGCTCACTAATTATATGCATTTTTCAACCAATCTGCCCCTGCTTCCTCAGAAATACGTCTGAAATAATCAAAGGAAAATTTTGCATATTTAGACACCCCATGCACTTCGTTTCCAAAGAATTTATTTCAAATATAATTCTCCATAAAAAGGGTGTGCCCACAATATGCCGAATCACATTTAGTTCCCTCATAATATATCTTCAATTGTCTTGAAAAATGCAGATCCCTTTATTTTCAATCACTAGATTTTGCCAAATATGTTGATTAAATTAGCAGAAAGTGATTAGAATAGACACAACGCTCTCAGATTCTCCCAGAACATATTCAGACTGTAATAGACATGGTAGGAAGAATTGTTTAAAAAGTCAATAAAAACCCAGGATTCCATGACACAAGGTGAAACATTGTTTGAAGCTGAAATTTCAAATGATAAATCAACTAAGACGGCTTGTGAAGACACAGTAATTTCTCAAGTGTGGTTAGAAGAAAAAACAGGAATTCAACGGTTACCTTGAATGAGATTATCCTGCTTAAGGAATATCTCCCTCAGTCTACTTTGACCACAAGGATTGTACTTTAAATTGAACTTGTCAAACCGATGGAATGTACTCTTGTCTGCGTGAACGTCCAAAAGGTCAACATTGAGGTCATATCTGCTCCAAAAAAAAAAATTATATCATTATATACAGCAAGTTGTAGTAACAATTCACCTTAAATCACTATAAGAACTATTATAGAAATAACAGGGGAAAATAAAGGATAATTACCCTGTTAAGTCCAGGCTCTCAAAAACTTCTTTCAAGGTCAGATAGGTCCCATCCCGAAATATTACAACCTGAATAAATTTAAAATTTTATACAATCATAATGCATATCACCTCGAAACCTGTGATCCATAACATAGTAATAAATAGATTCAAATAGTCACCTCATCAGGCTCTTTCCTTAGCTTTGACTTTATGAACCTTAAAAGGTGTTTCTGGTTCATGCATGCTGAGTGATGGACATGGGTATCAACTTTCCTGACATTATAGAAGTCTCGATGAGGAGCACTTTTTTGGGCGAGAAATTCCCTATCCGCATTTAACATCAAATGAAGATTGAATTTCTGTTCAAATGCAAAAAGTTGTCAAATAAGCAGCCAATGCACATACGCAGTTCAAATAAAACTATAGACTGGGTTAATTAATCAAAATAAGCAATCAAGACATATATTTACTTGTTCTAGAAGATTAAGCCGATGATGACATAAAGTTCTAATATTCCCTGCTGCTATAACTCGAAGTATGTGATGAAGGTCAGTGAAAAAGGTAGTTGCATCAGCAACAGGGAAAAGCTCTTCTTTTGCTGCAAATAACAAGGAATAAGTAATCCGTTGAGAGTTAGTCCCATAACATGAGAAATTAGGCAAAAAATTTCTTTAATTACTTACAATTATTATTTGGATATACATGTATAACACCATCTTGCATTTCAAAGTAATGCTGCAACACATTAGATCAGAATGTATCAATAAAAAAGGAAGATAACCTTGAAAACCCTAACCTTGACAGGTGGAATACCAGAACAAGATAGAAACTCACATCAGACTTTCCTTCAGGGGTGTAAAAGAATGGCTCTGGGTTAGGCTTTGGAGTACTAGGGTCAGATATAACTTCTTTCTCCCATGGAGCAACTGCTTCTTTAAACACATACCTTTTTCGCATTTCAAGGCATTCTTGAAGAACCAAATAGGCTTCCACTTCATCAGGAGATGGAGCCTCTAAACAGAAAACGTAAGATTGGTTTGCCAAATAACTTTTATAATTGATATTAAATTCAGAACAAAAATGAAAGAAGGGAATTCAATATATTGACACCAAGAGAAAACCCATATAAAACAATTTATAACATTCAAGAGAATGAGAAATTTTAATACCAATAGGAGTAATTTTTAGTCGAGCAAAAATTTCTTGCTCTGGCTCTTTCCTTAGAATATCAGCTGCAATTGGGTCAGGCTGAACACCATGCAGATCACCAGAAATGCTATGAGAACGAATCATACTGGAGGCAGCAGTTGGAACTTTATCTCCATTAGCATTAGCATGATCAGGTAAACCCTCATAAGGGATTTTGCCTTCTGGGCCCTGCATACATGTAGGCCTAAAATTTACTCCTGCGGCTAGGCTTACTTGTAATAAAAAATGCATGAGATGCACACTTAAAGCCCGCAAGTGCATGACAGACTTACAGCATTTCCATTTGTGTGTAGATATGTCAAATCTAGTTTGGAAGTCTCAGTCATATCATCTTCCTCATCTGATCCTTCTACACTTTCAAAAGCACTAGCACTTGGAACGGGAGATTTAGGAGATTTTGGTCTTAAAAGACTTCTCTTTGGGGTACCAGCATGCACAGATTTTCCTGTGACAGTGTATGGTCAGTGAAACATTGACATAGAAGCTTTCATCAACAGGGTTCATCCATTCATCTTCATGTTTTTGTTTTTTAGGCAGCCATTGAAGATGTTAAAAGGGCAATGCAGCAGAAAGCAAGCGCTGTGGCACCACATGATACAAGCTATTCACTCTCCCCCTCTCCTTTCCCCAGCGGTCCACCCTTCCCCACATCCTTCCTCTAAGACCTACTACAAGAACATAAATTTTGGTTCCTTTAAAACGTTGTGAGCAGGAAAGGATCGGAACCATCTTAATTTTGGGAACTTAGCAAAGGTAATAAACAAATTCTTGTTTCCAATAATGATCTTCAAGAATTAGTTGATAAAAATTATTCTGCTTCAAGAAGATTGATACTTCAGGACAATTTATTTAAGCAACATACGTAAACAGTTTTCAATCATTCTGAAGCTTCAGCTTATCTTCTTCATATTTTCTTTTTTTCCCCTCTTACTTCTTTCCAGTTTTTTAAAGTTAGTGATTTATCAGTCCAATTCATAAGAATCAGGGACGCCATTCTTGGTTTGTAATTGCATTCTTCATCTCTCTTTATTTCAGAATATAAGGCCTCAGATGTCTCTAAGCTTTGCAATCCAAAAATCTCTGTCCTAACTGCCCGGGACTATAAGACTAATTTTTAGATAGTTGATACCCCAGGCTAATGATTGATGGATATCTGCCAAGACTGCAGGAGCCATTTTTTGAAACACGCATTGAATTCCAAATCATATGAAAAGAGTTGACAATGAGTGCGAATATGCCAGTTTAATGACAAAGAAGTGAAATCATTCTTCAATTTCAGTAATCATGACTGTCGGCTAATATTCAAGAAGTGAAAGAGGAAGAAGAAGAAAATTGATGACAGCTGCACAGTGACAGTCTACATCAAATGAGAAAGGGAATCAAATTCTCCCCGAGTCCTATCAAATTGACTTCACTTTACCCAATTGCCAATAAAGTATGGGAACTTTAGCGCACACCGTAAGAAGTAAATCCCATCAACAAATTCAATATCCTAGATGTATACATCAACAAATTGGCCTACATATACCGCTCTGATTCATACAATTTACAAAGAAAAACATGTGAATCCCATATATACCAGGTTGCAGCTCCAGTCACTCTAATCCTCTTTTAAGGAGTAACGTCAAGTTAAAATTACTTCTCCTAGAATAAACAAAGTCCACTATTTTGCCTCCCTACAATGAAATATAAGTCACCAATTAAAACTTAGTCCTCTAGTCTGACAAAAAGTCCACCAAGGCCATACCTTCGTGAAGAGTATGAAGCCTCGGCAACCCGGCCGGAATGCCATCAACCGGCAGGGGTCCGTTCCGTCTCTCTTCACAATCCATCCCACCAGAGATCGCGGTGACATCCGGCAAAGACGACGAAACCCGTCGGTAATATTCGTTCCCTTTCCTCCTAGCGTAACCACCACGCTGCTTCTTCAAATGCTGGGGCGAATCATCGTCTGAGACGTTGTCCATCTCCCTATCAACCGTCTTGGCAAACTCGAGCAATTGCGTGAGCGTCTTCCGGTGCATATAATAAGCCGAGACAGCCACCACGGAGGCTCCAACAAGAGCCGCCACTGCCAAATGCAAAGCATACGTATCCATAATTTCCTTTACTGTGTGACTCACTTCCAGAGATGGCTGTATGGAACCGAAAAGAGATTAACTGAGAAGGATAAACCCTACTGAACAGTTCAGATGGTAGAGAAATCTCTGTTTAAAACGGAGACAGCTAAGGCCTTCTCTCTTCCCCGGTACATACAGGCAAGAAAAGTTGAAGGCCCAAGAGAACGTGTTGTCTATTTAGTATTTTCTCTCTTCCTTTGTCAACCTTTATAGCGCTGATTTTCGCTCTCTGTTTTCTGATTTCTCCTTTTTGCCTCCGAATTCACCTTCAGCTTTTTGGTGGCGCCGCACGAGCGTCAAGGAGAAGTTCGCAAAAAAAGTTATCTGTAACTTCTTTATTTTTTAAAATAAAAATTATTAAAGCTAGCTTGATATCAGAATTTGTGAATAAAAAAGAATTGTTGAAGTAAAATTTTACTGCACAAGAGACAAATTTTTTAAACCCAAAAACTTGATTAAAAAAAAAAGTGAGGTAGACATTCTAACTTGGATCCTCTTGTGTTTGATTCAAGGAATTGCTCGCAGTGTTGTAAAGTTGTTGAAAAAACAGAGAATCATTCTACGTGATAACTATTTTGATAAAAAGTTCTTAATTGATCAATTTTTTCAGAAAAACGCATGTTATTGTGTTCAAAAATTCAGATATATGCTTATGGACAAAAAAAAAATCATATGTATACTCGAATATGTATATATACACACACTTCTTTCTATGGATTATGTAACATATATTTCAAAAATAAAAACTGATCCAAATTATGAAGTGTCTAGTCAAAATATCAAATCACATTTCATTATTACTCGTATAAAAAGAGCTATCTTGTAATTTGATAAGGTTTCTTTTTATTTATAAGAATATAGTTAAAACATTGAGATTTTTTTGCAGAAATAAAAAGATTTATTAATTTTTTTAAATCGAAGTTAAAAGTGTCCGAAACAATTTATATAAGGAACTCCGAGGAATATATACTAAATATGGCTCTACTTAAATATGTGTCGAAACATAAAAGAACACAAGTCAACTCTGTGCAGTTGACACCACAGCATTGAAAACCGTATAGTTTCAATATTGACCTTGTACTATTCACAATCAGATTCTTAAATGCAGGCATGATATTTATTAATTTTTATTTTTCTTTACAAAGAATATTTCATCGAATTTCATGCGCGCCGCGCCAAGGGCAGCATGTTCCTAAAAGATACGAGTACCATGGAAAATTCACACTTCTCTCTATGTGCTTGTCATTCGCGAGGATCACTTTAGTAATTTTCCTCGATTTTATTAGATGTCCTTTAATAAAGACATATTTTAAAAGAAATAACAAATTATTATTTAATTTTTATAGTCTTAAACAGGTAAAATTCAATTCTTAAATTCAACTCAATATAACTTATTTTTTATAATGTTAACTTGATTGAAATTTAATTCTTAAATTTTAACTTGAACCAATTCAATATATATAATTTTTTTATTTTTTTAATCATTTAAAAGATTGGTTAATATATTTTAAAAAATAAATTTGTAAATACTAAAGTAATTTTTTTAAACCTCTCTTCATATCACAAGGGCATTTTTTAAAAACTTAATTTGATCTAAAAGTATTCTCTTACTTTATTAAATTCCATTGAAATGGTTTTTTTAACGAAAAACAAGCCAATTTTATGGATTATCAGAAAGAAATTACACTCACTAATAACAGAAAGCAATAAAAATGACAGTAAACCCTAATTACAACCTAAACGCAAAAGGAAATCAAAAAAATAGTCCAAACAGATACGAAAAAAACTAAAACCAAGCACCAAAACAATTATCCTATACCAGTTCGAATCAAACCAGACTCAAAAATATTGAAAGTCTTCTCACGTCGCATACTTTTGCCCAACAAATCAAATGATTAATGATTATGTTTTGAATAAGTAAAATATCATATTTATTTAATCCAATAATACAGTTAGAAAGATATAAAAATAAAAAAAACAATATTTTAACTAATTTTTTAAAAACATACATCAGTTAATGATAACTTACTCATGGTATAGTGTAACATCTAGATTTTTAAGCCCAATTAATTAAGTTTAATCAAGGTGATTAGTGAATTAGTAAGGTGTGTGACCAAGGAGGTCTAATTAGTATATTTGACTTGGATTTTAGCCCAGGATGTGGGTTTGGATTAAAGTCGGGCCATTCGGATAAGGAGAGAAGAAGAAAAGGTGAAAAAAAGCCCTATGTTCCACATGCCGTGGCGTGTGGATGATCCGTTGCAGCGCATAAAGGCAATCGAGTATGAATTGGGCCTCTGTGTCACGCACCGTGACTGAAGGATGTGTGCGCTGTGTCACTCAACCAAAAATCTAACTTAATCTGTCCGTGTTTGTGTGCAAAATCAGATGAGGAGGAAAGGAGAAAAAGAAGAACACAGATAGTTAAAAGCTTCCCAGCACCTAAGGTAACTATAATGTGCTTCTTTCCTTCCTTCTACTTCCACTTTTTAGAACATTTAAGCTAGGGTTTAAGTATTTATGGTGATTTTCGATTCATAAGTGTTATGGGTCCAAACTCATTAGTTAAAATGGATATAATAAGAGTTATTTAGGGTATTTAAAACTAACCTTAATGATTTTGTGAATGGTTAGTTGGGAGGAGTCATTAATATGCAAAATTTAGAATTTATGAGATGGTTGAGAGTGTTGTGGATCATTAATGGTGGTTTAATAACTTATTAGTGATAATGTGGATCAATGAAACCTAGTGAATCCATTGGTTATGTTTAGATGTGAGTTTATGTTTTGGTTAAAAGGGGATATATGGAGTTATATTATTAAAAATTATCAAAGATAGGATAATGATATTATCCTTGTGTAATTGATCGTAAATTGACTCTTTTGGCACTATTCAAGCTAATTTAGAAGCTTTAGAAGTTAGTATTGTAAAGGCAAACTTTTGACCTCAAAAGTTTGAGGTAATAAGGAAAAACTTAATTTGCATAGTTATATGTTAATCAGATAATTGTGAAAATTATGATTTGAAATTTGATAGATTTGTGAAACTAATTGATGCATTTGGACAATGTGATGAGTTTGTGATAAAATAGTTTTGAAAAATGTAGAACCTCTTACATGTGACACACTAGTGACTTTTGACCATGAGTGATACTATGACATGGTGAAATTGATAAAAATGTGGTAATTGACATGTGGAGTATGTGAGTGTCAATAAGTGAATGCATATGACATAAATTGTGGATTAGAATGCATAACACGTGCGAGTTGTGCACAGCATGATTATTGATAAAAGTTCACCTAGAAAGAGGTGTAATTGATTAAACCCATATGGTAGTAGTGACGACCATTAGAATCAAGAGTTTGTCCTGACACCAACCGTTGGAATCTAGAAGTAGCCCTTGTTCCATGTTTGATTCGGAATTATCCCACTTATTTTATGAGGGACTCAAACCTAATTAGTCTTCACCGGTTCATGAAGAAGCTAGATTAGGAGTATGACACCCCATAGTTGTTAGTATTGAGGAAAACCGTGATACATAAATGAGTGAGTTAACCTTAGCTGAATAGCTCCTCACAAGTGGAAGGTTGGGTTAGTCCGTGAAGGATATAGCTATGTAATAGTCACAGGTTTCATGTTGGAGGTAATAAGAGGGTATAAGATTGGCATTTGATCATGCATTTGGATTTAGAGTCAAGAAAAATAGGTTGAGCCCACAGGCTAGCCCATTTAACCTGTCAATTTTGATGATTTTGGTTGAAAGAATTGACCCATTTTTCAAAATGGGTTGGGCTAGTTCAACTAGTAAAAATGGCAAGTTAAAATGGGCTAGCCTGTGGGCTAAAAGGCTGGCCTGCGGGCTAGCTTTTTTTAAAAAAAATTAATTTATTTTCTACTCACAATATATCTTCTTATAAATCTATAATAATAATAATATTTTTTAAATCTATAATTTATGAGTCTAAAATATATTCTTTACATTTGAAAGATAATGTAAATATTTCTTATAATTTGCACATGAAATTTTTGTTTTAATTTATAAATCAATTATTTATTAGTTTTTATAAAAATATTTTGAATATGTATTATTTGTTAACCTCATAAGATCTATTAATTGAAATCACAAATATAAATTTGTTGAGAAAATTAATATAAGTTTATATTCAAATTTTATTTTTAAGTGAGAAAGATAACACACCTAAGCTAGAAGACGATTAATAATAAAAATCTAGCAATTTTTTTAATATTTTGGCTTCATTATTCTATTTGATTCATAATCCATAAAAAGCAATATAAATAAATCAAAATTACATTTAAATTGTTCTGTGATGTAGAAATACTTGTAATTCCGTTTCTTTTATCAATTTCATATCCATTTCTACTATTCAAACTTATGTTTAGTGGGACATTCAAGTTAAAAAAGTTTAGATTCTAAATTTTTTTGAAGTGATGTGACTTTTCAAGAATGCACAACAGATCATTTTAGATTTAGATAGGCGTTAAAAAAATAAAGCTTGTTTGTATAGGATTTGTCTAACAGGATTTAAACAAGTGATTTAATTTAAATATATATATGATATGTTGATTATAAATTTTAAAAAATAAAATTGCATTTTGCAAGCTGGCTCAAGAGCTCACTAGCCCCTTAATGTGTGGGTTGGATTTTCTCAGCCCTTTTTCTTCCCGAGCAGGCCCAACTCAACCCGCTAAAATGCTAACCCATGTAGGTTGGCCCATAATTCGTTTACATAGCTCTATTTAGATTCAACCATATGGTTATTATTATTGTGATACGGCATGTGTTAGGGGTGCATGGTTAGTATTATCACGACCTCATGATGTGCTTTGTTAATAAATATGAATGTATGTACTGTGGGCCTGGTCATATGGTTGTTAGTGTTGTGAATCATGGCCATAGTTGTCATGCATGTATTAGTTGTGTAATTATTGTTATTTTCACCTATTTTTGATTGATATGTAACTGTATAGATTAGGTGAAACTTAGTTATTATGTGGTTATACTCACCCCTCAATTTTTAATATTTTCAAGGCCTAGCTCATCGGATCCAAACTAGGAAAAATGTGCCGAGGCATAGGATTGTAAAGTAATCCTTTTTTATGTGCCTTAGTGTGTTTGTTTTATGTGTATTAATTATGTTAATTTGCCAACTAGGATTCATATGATTATTTTGAACTACTAATATTACTATAGCACATTAC